GCCTCCCCCACTGCTCAGGACTGGATCTCTCCACAGCCTTCCTACTGTGCAAGCTCTCCAGTAATCAGCATCCCTGGGAATGAGATGTTTGGCATTTCTTGAAAACTCACACCCTGAATTACAAGTCTACATAAGAATGGAAAAACCTATGTTTAAGGCTTGGTGTTGTAGGAGGGGTTGTCTTGTTATTGGGCTACTTCCAGTCATTCTGTATATCTTTTGAATTTTGGTAATAGACAAGTTGCCTTATCTCAGAAAGAAATCTACTGAAGATTTCAGATTAGTTTTAGTTTCAACACAGTAGTACCTTTATTCTGATTTTCCATGTCATTGTAAAAAGAAAAGGATCTTGGGACAGTTAGGAGGATAGTTAGATGCAGCAAATCCATTTCCTTAAGTTATTGATGAATTTTGTAATTTATGCACTTTTGAGTTGCTGCTATTTTTCAATTAAGAATTTACTCCAGGCAGGGTTCAGTTATAAAACAGAAACTTCACGGAGCTTTGGATTAGATAACCGGAACACATTATTTTCTTTTAGTGCTTAAGTCCCCTTTTTCAAAGGCATATTTTTTGGGGAAAAAAAGAAAGCTACACATAGTTTTTTGTGCCTCTTATTGGTTTGAGGGTGCAAATCATGAGAAGTGTCCTTTACAATCAGCTGATTAATTGTGATTGAAAATAAACAGTAGTTCACTTTCATAGACAGCTAAGGCTTTGTTTTGCACTTAAATCTCTTCTTGCATAGCAAATGGAGGGGCAACAATAAGGAGGTCAGGCCCAGATACAGCCCCTAGAAACTGATTCCTACCTCACACAGCAAGAGACATGTAAATGCAATACTTTAAAATGAGAAAGGCAGCCTTTATTTCAGATTTTTCTCGTGAGGGCTAAATAGCCAAGAGGTGTGTGGGAGAATGTCTACCTTACTCAGGGAGTCCTGAGCCAGCCAGATGCACTTTTCATAAACTTTTTAACAAACTGTCTGGCCTAGGTTTGTCTTATATTCCATGTCAGTGTTTTATTTATGATGACTCTGTTTGTTTTCTGCCTTAGAGTAAAACAATGGGCTACTGTGTGATCAAAGAAAAGGTTTTTAAAAGCCTTTTATTATTGTTGATGTTAAGATTTAGCAAGGATTTAAACAAAATAAAGGCAATATGTTTCATAACATTAAATGTATTTAAAAACAACTGATCTTCTGTCCTTTTTCTTTGCATAATAATAAGCTAAAGTTCAAATATGATGCAAAATAGACTAATCTTCCTTATTTGATATAAAACTATTCTAAAACTACAGCTTTCTGTCCATTCCCGGACCTAGAAATCATTTTGTTATTAACAGTAGTTGAACTTTACAGGTGTTTCAGCGAAGACAAGGGGAGACATTTGCTTTTCTAAAATACTCAGAGGTGAATTTCAGTTAAGATAGTACTATGCAAATTTGAGAATGGATCTGAAGCTTCATTCAAGAATTCACCACCTCGCTTCTGCCCTTGGGAAAAACACATGTGTGATGTTGCATCCCTGCAAATTTGCTGTATGGAGCTCTGTATAACCGGTACCAATTTTCCTGAGATTTCCCAGGTAGATTTAAAGCATCAAGAAATGTGTTCCAAACCTCTGTTTATTCCAAATGAGTTGTCTGGTGCTTTCTCAATGTTAATTTTCAGCTCTGAGCCAAAGGAAAGAAAGAAGAGGCTGATTGCACAAGGCCTAATCATGTGAGGAGGTCTGGTTGAATGACATCAATCTGTCATCAGCATTTCTTATGTAAGTAAAGCTTGTAGAAAATCCCATTCTGTATCTGCTATTCCTGTTAACAAATTAGATGAGCTGAGAGCCAAAAGTCATTATTTAACCCAATGAATGTTTATTTGGCAACTTGCAGCCTGTGCTGCAGATTCACAGGCATGGAAAAGCTGGCTCTTCCTTTGGAAATGCATTCACACACATCTCAGTGTGAAATCAGCTTAGGTAATCGGTGCCCTTGTTTATCTGGAATTATCAACATTATTAACATGGTTTCTAGGAAGGTGTCACTTGCTAGAGCAGCTCTAAGTGGCAAGATCCTTCGGCCCATCCTGCTGGGAAGCTGGAGTCCTTTTAAATATGCCATCAAAACACTCCTACACAGCATGGGTTGCCAAAAAGAGGAGACAAAGCCTTGGCAGTCAGCACCTTGCTCCTGCAAGAGCTGAGGGCAAGCCATAGCCTATGGCAGGACATTTGGAAACACTGAAAGATGCTGTTGTAAATTTATGGTAACTTCTGGACTGGCCTGTGTGCTACACTGAACTGTGTTTGCCTTATTATTTTCCAATAACACATTTTTGGGGAAAAAACTACAGGAGTTTTGTCTGCAAATTTGCTTACTAACTAAATCGATCAGTGAAACAAATGTATGTCTCCAAATCTCCACTTTGAAGTCCCCACTAGGAATGTGAAATTGCACCTGTAAACCAGGAAATTAAAGACAAAAACTACCCAAGTGGCTTGGATTTTCTCAGCAGATGGAGAAAAGAAGATTTACAGCTACTTCAGCTTCAGCTCCATTTGAAATTACTGGCTCTAAAGATGTATTCAGTACCTGGATGCAGAATGCATCTACAATGGTGCACATAAACTGAAGTTGCAGAGATTTAGGACATGAATAGGCTCAAATCTGGAGGTGGTGGTGTTCTCCTGGCCACAGCCTCATCCCACTCATTGCTTCAGCAAGTCTGCAAACTGACAGCTCTGCTTCCTACCTCAAAGCTATAGCTGACTTTAAAATGACGCAAATAAGGAACTGGGATTTTCGTTAAAATTAATTTATTTAACCAAATTTACTAAGGTTTTAATGTCATATATAGTTTTTAAGAAGAAGACTATGGGGAAAAAAGTCAATTTACTCCAGATGTTTCAAATTTTGCAGTCTTAGAAAGGTAAGGGAAAACCTGTATGTTTTTTGATTTGGTACCATCAGCCTAGAGAGTTCCTGAGTACACCTGCTCATTGATGCATTTGGCTTCTGGGGTAAACAGAATCTGTGCATTTCTTTGTGGCATTTTATCTTAGAAGGCCCACATTCGTGGTTTCACCAGTTGTTAGTGTTTGCCTCCTTACTGTTAAAGGATTACATGAGAATTAACTGGATGTTGTTAATTCTGCTGTTTCTCCACTTAGGCAAAAAGCTTGTCAGTATTTCCTGTGACTATGCCAAATCTATTTCATGTGAGATGACTGTATCAAAGTGGACTGGGTCTTGAAAAATGCAATGACCTGGACACAAAGACGGTAGGTAGCAGATTCTTTTAATTATTATTATTTTTTGTAACAGTTTTGATGGGTAAGTGCTTGAAAATAGGAATGGTTAGGTTAACCTTGGAAAAAAAAAGGTTAATTTTTAAGGAAAGAAACCACAATATATCGGTAAAAATCGCCGACAAGACAAAAATGATGCAAGTGACAAAACTGAAGCTGACTTTTTTTGGTGTTTTTAATCTCTTCTTCATCCCCCACCCCTATTCTTTTTTCCCCCCCCCCCCCCCCCGCCTTTTTGTCACTGGGACTCTTGTTAATTCCATTCATTAGATACATGCACTGCTCTTTGAAATTACTGTGTTGAAATAATGAAAGTAGTTCTTCCATGTTCTGATTTTTATGTATTATGTGAAAAAGCTACAAAGCAAATACCAGCCTTAGCATCAATTCCTTTACTGGTAATAGTTGCAGTCGACATCCAGAAGGGTTTTCTCCGATAATCCCGTCTCTGAGTTCGGCATTCCAGGCTTCTAGTGGCCTCTAGTGGCTCTCCGAAATTTGCCCGCATCTTCTCCCATTATTTCTGCGTGTGCAAACCGCGGTGTAGCACGCAGGAACCTTCACCTTGATCCTGCCAAAGTACAGTCCAAGTCTGAACGAGCACGGTGTTGTCCAGCTGCTCTGAATCTTTGTTAATTAAGCACAAAGGCTATGTGCACTCTTGGATTGAGGTGTAAATCATGAGGGTTGCTAGAATTTTGTTAAAAGAAAAGCCAAAATAATGCACTGGATATTTACAAAGAGCACAAAACTTGGGTCTTCTTGGCCTTCCAAATTTCCCTTAGGTGGTTGGTCTGTTTGGGTTTTTTAAAGTTATAAATATTTTAAAATACAAGGTGACTATGCCATATTCGCTGTATGCAAGGACACTTTTGAGTGCTCAAATCCCTCCCATTCTAGACAAGATGTGTTAATGGCATCAGGAATGATTTCAAGTCATCAGAAGGGAAGGCAGGGTTCAAGGTGAAGGGGGATTAAACTAGATGATGGGAAGGTGGTCTGTAATGGGGTCTTAATCAAGTGTGGGAAATACAAGAGAAAATATTTATGGGAGGAGATGTTGGTTTTACGGGGGTGGTGTGGAGTTGGTCGCGGAGGCAGCTCGATTGCCTCTCTCATGCCCGCCTTGCTCTCTGCTGCTTAATCACCACCAAAACAAGAGGAAAGGTTTCCACAAGCCTGAATGCCACCCCGGTACGGGCCGTACTTTGGTTTTGGTAACTCTTTGCCAAATTTCCTCGGCGGCCTTGGCTACCATCTAGTGTTTCGCAGTTGGCTCCCTAGACCCTTTCAATGAAGTTCCGCCCGTTTGTGCGGTGGGTTGTTCCTCTGGTGCTCCCCTGCGAGATACACAGGCAGGTGTCGCAGGAGCAGGGCCCGGGAGCGCTCTTCATCGTCTAAACTGCTCATGCTTGAACCTAAGGAGGATTTATTGATTTTAGTATCCTTAACAGCACTGTGCGTTACTTTTCGGGCAGAAAATGGCGAAGATGTCAATGGTTTAACTGGCTGCGGCCAGGCAGTCGGCGCGCAGCCCCTTCCGCCGGCGAGTCGCGGCGGACCCGCCTCCTCAGGGCGGCACCGGCCCGGCCCCTCATGTCGGCGCAGGCGGGGAAGCGCCGCGGCACCGGCGCCGCCGGTTCCCACCCCTTTCCTGCCTCTTCCCCCGCCGCCGCCGGCTGCGCTCGGCCGGGGTGGCCGGGGCGGGCGGCGGTGCCCAGCGCCGCGGGAGCGCCCCGGCAGCGGCGAGCGGGGGCTGCCGCCGCCAGGCTCTGCTGCCGTCGGGGTGCTTCTGAGGCAGCCCCTGAGCTCTGTTGGGGCTCCCCGCTGCAGATCCGAGGTGCCGGTGTTCCCGCATTAGCCCGGCTGGGCAGGAACTGGGTTTGAGCCTCCTCTCCCTCTCTCCCGCCGGCTGAACAGGGAGCCTGCACCGACTGGGAGCAGCCGCTGGAAGCTCCGGGTAGGTGGGATGAGTCCAGGCCTCCGAGCCATCCCGGCGTGCTGAACCGCGAGTGGTTAACGCTGCTTCAGCCTGCGGTGACCCGGAGGTAAGAACAGCGTGAAAGCAGCGCACCGCTGCAGCTCCTGTGCCTTTGCTGCTCTTCAGAGCATCTCAGCCCTTCCTGGTAACTTCTCGTAGCTTCCCGCTTTGTCCCTGGGTTATGTCATGCAAGCAGCTGAGGCTTTAAAGAATGAAGAACATTACCTTAGCACTTAAATACAAGGCTGACATTAAAACTGATAGTGTTGGCTTTTAAAGGGAAGCAGGCAGATGTGTAAATGTTGAGCCTCTGGTAAGAAGAAGGACATAGTGTTAGAATGACTTTTTTACATCCATTTCTTTGAAACAGACTAATACCAGTGGAACAAAAGTGAGAAATAACTTGGATGCAGAAATACATTAACCAAGTTTGTCCTACAGTCACTTGACCACAGTGTCATTAGATCCTCCTTGTGGAAGGAGGTATTTTGCCCTACCTGGTGAGTGCACTGGCAGCATCTCAGTGCTGTAACTATGACTGCAGGAGAATGGGGAACTAAAAAGTATATTGAAAGAGCCACTGTCAAATGAAGTCTGTGTGAAACAGGTGGCTGAGTTTCTCTTGCCAGTTGATCACACGTCCCAGTTGTTTACAAAAGACTGTTTGGGAGAGCATAGAGATTGAGATGGCTCTCAGCAACCACAGCAGTGGAAGCTGAGCATTTTTGTTCAGGGGTGGATCACCTTCCCCAGCTTAGTACCACAATCCTTTTATGTTGTGTAGTCCCAGAGTGGCAGTGCTGTTTGAGGAGGTGACTGTGGAGGAGCAGAACAGCTCTGGTCTGAGATGGCTTGCTTTGAAGGGGCCCTTCAGTCTGGTGTCTCAGGCAGTGGCTGAAATGAAGGCCCTTATTTAAGCATGGACTGAAGTCTGTCTGTAAGGTGTGGTGTGTTGCACTCTGGCTCTAGTAAAATGCTCATTGCTTGCCTTCAGCCCATGTGGGTCAAGGGCATGGGAGCTGCTCTGAAGTGGCTGGTGGTGTGGACTGTGGTGGAGCTGCCTCGTGCTGACTGCCTGGAGTGCTTGCTGAAGTGCAGGAGTTAATGCTTTGTGGATGAGATTGTGGCCTGTGTGCAGTGTAACTCTGTCCCTTGCTGTGCTATTTCAGTGCTTTCTGAAAACCAAAAGGATGAATTTTGGGTCAGAATGTTGCAGTCTCCACATCGTGACACGCTGCAGATACCATACTTCAAAAATGTTTGCCAAAGTCACCTGAACAGGAATTAGATTTTGGAAAACCAAAAGGATGAATTTTGGGTCAGAATGTTGCAGTCTCCACATCATGACACACTGCAGATACCATACTTCAGAAATGTTAAAATGTTTGCCAAAGTCCCCTGAACAGGAACTAGATTTTAGGCAGATTTGGAAGCTGTTTTAGGGTATATCTCTGCTTTCCAAAAAAAAATGTCCTTAGTATGTCTGGGCCCTTACTTTTCAGTCTCAGGAGAGAGGGTTGTCAGCTATGTGTAGTTTCCAAGGCAGTTTGTAGAAAGCTGAAATAAGATATGTGACCCAGAACATCAGTTCCTATCACTACTGCAGAAGTACACACGGGGTCTATTTTGGTCATCCTGTGTTTGGTGGCAGTCACCTGCCAGTTTCAGGAAGCACCAGCTCCCAGTGTGCATAAGTAAGAAACAAGGTGCCCAGGGGCAGATTGTTCCTAATCCTGGTGCTTAGTTATCACCAACTTAACAACAAAAACATCCTTGTTAATGGCTGAAGGCCTTAATAGCATAGATTCCATTTTTTCTTACAGTCCTATCAAACTGTCTAACTGCATGTTTTAATTAAATGTTGCAGTAATTCAGATCTTTGGGTGTTGGTTTCTTCTCTTAGCTGAAATACTTGTTTTTTAAGGTTTTCAATTAACATAGAAACAGTGCAGCATAAATGCCTATTTCTAGACATTCAGTGATCTTCTATCTTCTTTTCAAAAAAAACCTACTGATCAGATGGATGCAAGTTGATCAGCTTGGAGCTGATAAAAAGAAGTTGCTATTTCGGTAAATCTAGCTGTAGCAAATATGATAAGTAAGTCTTGCATTTCCTCAGTGGGGAAATTAATGTCTGTTTGTATTTTGAAAGCATTTATTGAAGATTTGCAGGTTTTTGGCTGGAGTGTGTTTTCCTTACCCAGGTGCTGTGATGTTCCAGAGCTTCTTAATGTTCAAAGTGATTCCTGTGTAGCATCACTTTTTTATTTTTCAGCTCCTTTAATGAAGAACTGAGTGGGGCAGGGAGGGGGTGCCAGCTGTGAAATTGTATCTGACATAACCAGCTCATTTCTTTTTGTAACCCTTCTAGTGTAAACAAATCACATTGAATCATGGCAGCAGACTCTATGGAAATTGATGATGCTTTGTATAGGTAAGATTGTCTGATTTTTAAGTGTTGCTCATGGCTTTTCAGGATCACTTGCATTTATGTGCAGTAATGTTACAATTTCATTCATCCCTCAGCCTCTGCTGTGCTTCTTAGTCCTCCTTATCAATATCTCTGTTACCTTCCAGCCTCAGGGTGTTGGATTTGAGGGTTTTTTGTAGATTAAAAAAAAAGTTAAATATTTATTTTGGTTTAGTTTTGTTTTAATTTGTTAGCTGGGAATGTCTTGAGATCACTTGGCATGGTAATTGTTCAGAAAGTCTCTACTGGGACAAATGATACCCCTGTAAAAACATGGTGGGATGAAAAGCTTCTTTGTGTATCAAAAAATAAAAAATAATTATAAAAGTGCTTGTATGAAGAACAAATAAGGCTTCTTTTCAATTCAGTGCAGTACTTCTGGTGTTGTGTCACTTTACTTTTTGGCAGTAGCCTCATGAAAGTTGTTCTTTTCCTTGATGATAAAGGAGATGTTTAGAATGGTGTAAGTTTAATTGTACAGTTGGATGTTGGGGCTCTCCCAGATTTCAGGATCTGACTACAAAAGCTGTGCCACTCTCTGTTCTGAAGATTTCTGATAACAAAGAAACTCTTTTGCGTGTTTGTGTCTTCAGTAGTTAATTCCAAAAACTTTGTTTATCCTGAAGAAGTTTTGCAGTGATTTAAAATTATAACTTTATTTATCTCTCTAAAATCTGGCACTGACAAGATTGTGCCAGATAAATGCATTTCGCTGCATGCATTGTGAGTGCAAATCTTCTGTTTGATTGATAAACATTTCAATTTTTAAAAAGTTTTTTTTAATGACTGGGAATTCTTGACTGCTTTTATGTGCTCTTGACTTTGTGTCTTGTTTTGGTCTGAATTTGTCTTTGCTGTAGTCGCCAGAGGTATGTTCTTGGAGACACAGCAATGCAGAAGATGGCTCAGTCCCACGTGTTCCTGAGTGGTATAGGTGGCCTTGGGGTGGAGATTGGTAAGTTAGGTAACATTTATTTTAAAAGACACAAGTGTGTGTAAACATACTGTCCCAGAATACTTCTGAACCTTAAATTTAAATATAATAAGCACATCTGAACTGTCTGAGAGAATTTATATGTGCATGATGCATATTACTAACATTGCAGATGCAGGAAAGATCCTGGACTTAAGTTCTCATTTTACTAGAACAGCATTCAAATTTTACTTTAAAATGTGCTTCCATGAGCCAGATTGCTTTACCCAAATCTTGTGTCCTGGGTGAAGGTTTAGGGTAGGTAATCCAAGTTACTCTTTCAGGTATCAGTATGAATGAATGTATTGTAGGAATAGCTATAGCCCAAATTTTTCCCATGTATGAAATGGGAGGATGTGTTGGAGAACAGAACTATGTGGTGAAAATGCCTAACTGCCCAGATACAAGAGACTCCTTAACAATTTTCCTCACTCCTCATGAGCAAGATGATGTTGCTCTGGCTGGTTCGTGCCTGGGGTGTTACTCCTTCAGTTGCCTCTCATGGTTCTCTGCACCAGATGCCAGAACAGAGTCATGGGGTTTTGTAGTTTATTGTCATTACTATCTCTGTAATCACAGTTGTGGGATGAACAGCTGACAGATGACAAATGTAGAGAGTCTTTTTAACCTGGCTTATGTTATTTTGCTTTCTGGGGTGTTGTAGAATGCTTGAGCCAAATGTAAAAGAGAAAAAACCCTTAAACTATGAAGTTCTTAACAAAGAAATACTGTTATTGTCCACCTGAATAACTATCCAATTACAGATTTGCAAATAACCTGCAATAATCTCTCTCTGGTTTTGCTTTGTTCTTGTTTTTTCAGCCAAAAACATCATTCTGGCTGGGGTAAAGGTATGTAAAACAGTTCTATTGTTAGGTATTCTTGGGTAAGCATTAGAAAAAGGCAAAACACTACTAGCTAATTAATCTAAAGTTTCTGAATCTGTTTTTCAGTAGAAGGGTTGAGAGACCTTGTGAGAACCTAGGGGTGAGAACTTCCAATAATCTGGATGTTCTAGTGTTAGATCTCACGTTAATGTCCACTGTGCTCTGAAATAGCTCATACAGTATTTTAGCCAGCTGATTAGATACTGAATCCTTTTGTACAAAGTAGTTTCTCCTAAATGGAGTGATCCAAACTTGAAACCCAAACTATTCAAAATATGTTATCTTATTTTGTCAACCATTAGAATCCTTTTGTGTAGACATTAGAATGTTGGGTGTTTTAATCCAACAACTGCTTTTGTGCTGCTGGGATTAATTTTATTGGCAAGAAGCCTTTTAAAACTTCTTTCCAATAGAAAAAGATCAAATGAGTCCATTAATTTTCAGATGACAATTGTGCCTGTATCACAATCTGACAAAAATCATCCTTGATATTTAAATGCTCTCTGTTACCACTACAAACTGGAAGGAAAATGCTGAATGAAGTGCATGTTGCAGATGTGTTTTGCTCTCTCAAACAGTAAGAGTTTTCTTGGGAAAGAGGTTGGGAGAGCTTGTTCTTATATGTGCTACAGCTAAATCTTCTGCAGTGTTAGTCCTCCACCACTTTATGGGGCTTAATCCATTCTTTTGGGTGCTGTGACATTGTATATTTTTTCCAGCAAATGCTTTTTGACAAACTTTCTTAGGCTCTTACAGTTCATGACACCAAGCACTGCACAAAATGGGATTTGGGGATCAACTTCTTCATCCATGAAGATGATGTTACCAGTCAGAGGAACAGGTTAGTGGAGTCTTTGGAGTGAGAGAGGACTGAGCCTGATGGCTCATCAGCATCAAAAATAGCAGTTTGTTGTCCAGGAGCTCATATCAAATACCTATTAAACCCTTTCTCTGGAATTGCTGGCTGTGAGTACAGTGCCCAGGTAGATATTAGAGGAACTTGTCTAGACTTGGGACTGAGGTTCTGAGTCACAAGTGTCACTCACTGCTTGTTATGCAAATTTGATAGTGGGGGCCAGCATGCATTTCTTCCTTGGGCTTTCTCAGCCACCTGTACAAGATTGGACAACAGCTATGACAGCAGACAATCTGTGAGTCCTGTGGGATATTGGACACAGCAGTTTTCCTCAGACCTGCTAGGAACTGAAGTGTAAATAAATGAGTTGTTGTTATTGCCAGGAGACATTGTGAGGGTCTCTTGTAGGGTATGTGTAGTATGAATTTCTGTATTGAAAATACAGTTTTGTAGATATGTAAAAAATTGAAAATTGCTTTTCTTTCAGGGCTGAGGCCACACTTCCTCGTATTGCAGAACTCAATCCATATGTCCATGTAGCAGCATCCACTGTGCCACTAGATGAAACCACAGATCTGTCTTTCCTAAAGCACTACCAGGTATGTCACTCTTAAAGCAGTTGTATGTGTATTCGTGTATTTTGTTCAGATCATACAACTTGGATTTTTAACGTAAGTAAATAGAATGAAGAACTTTGAAGTATATGTTGAGATGGTGTAAATAAAACAGTAGGTCTTGTATTTAGACTGATGAAGTGTTGTGCGTATTTTTTTCAAGACTAAAACAGTGGGTTTGTGTTCCCACCACTTTCTTAGTACACTTACTATGGAATTTGCTATGACAATAAATAGCTAAGTGGGGTTGCTGTACAAATATTTTTCTTTGAAGGTGAAACTGTGACTATTCTTTGCAGCTACATAGCATAGATGTCCTACATATGTTCTGTGTGCTGTATTCCAGGCAGCAGAAGCTCAGGCTGTATATTTAGATGATTCATGTATGTATGTATGTAATGAAGTGTAAGTGCCTCTATGATGAAGTGAGGGCACTTGCAGTTGTTCAGTCAGCTGTCTCCTGCCTGTGTGCATGGCTCAGTCTGAGTAGGGAACCTTTTCTGTGTGGCTGACATACCAGCACACCAAATTTCTGAATGTCCCAGCTACAGCAGGTCAGTGTAACTGAATGGGTTGCAGTGCACGTGCCTTGGAACCCAATACTGTCCTAGGCATTAAAGGAATGTGTGTAGAGAAGCTGTGTCTGCAGTTTTATGACCACAAATACTGGACGCCTGTGCAGACTTCTTGGTGTGCACTGATGAGTATTATTTATGTTTGTTAGTTAGCTTTAATCCTAAAATTCAAAATCTACATTTTTGCTGAGATTATCTATAACTGTTTTGGTAAATATTCTAATTGGGTATTGAATTTCAAAAAAACCCAAAAACCTCCAAACAAACAAAAACCTGAGAATTTGCTGTTCCTGTTCTTACTCATTCTGTTTCCAGAACTTGTGGGGTGGTAACAAATCTGCTTTAATGAAAAAACTTCCTCAAGACTGCTTTCTCTTAAGTGTGGAGGATAGGAGTAAGGACACCTAAGTAACTTAGTCTAGGTGCTAAGTTTTCCTATAACCTGAAGATACTGATTGCTTTCAGTGTCTTAGAAGTATTTCTGTTCTTGTTCACAGTGTGTCATATTGACTGAAGTAAGTCTGTTGCTGCAGAAGAAGATTAATGACTTCTGTCATGCTCAGCAGCCACCTATTAAGGTAATAGAAAAAATGCAACACATGAATAATCTGTACAGTGGGCATTCTGGACCTTCAGGGTGTTCTTTCCAAAAATGATGAAAGCTGGTTATGAGGTGTATAATTCAATGCAAATGGCATGTTGATGCAGCAGCAGGAGTTCTGGGAATACAGTGCTGCTGCTGGTATTATCTGGATACCAGCACAGGTAACCACAGCTTGGTCCTTAATTAAAAAGCAGTTGTTTTAAAGAAATAGTTTTCACTGTTAACTCAAAATGGTTCTGAAAGAATGTGCTGGCACTGAAGGACGTGCTGTGGCTGAATGTAAGAGAAGCAGGAATGGCAGCATTTTGCTGTGTAGTGATGTTACTCCTGTGTTGTGAATGGGCACAGAAATGCTCCTGCAGGTTCAAGGTCTGCCCTCAGTGCTGTGCTGTGTAGTGTGGCCTGAACAGGTTTTCCATTCTACAATGGAAACAGCAGGTTTCCATTGTAGAATCAAACCTGCTGGTCTTCAGCAGGCTCCAGTGTGAGGCATCATATCTGTGCCTTGTGCTGTTCTAGGGATGCTCATGATTTTTACTTTCTCTTGTAGTTCATCAGTGCAGATGTGTATGGAGTATGTTCACGTCTGTTTTGTGACTTTGGTGATGAATTTGAAGTGCTGGATACAACAGGAGAGGAGCCAAAGGAGATCTTCATTTCAAATATAACACAAGTAAGGGATAAAAGTCATTGTGTTGCTTTAACTGTGTTTAAAAGGACTCATTGTTGGCTCTTGGAAAAGAAGAGTGCCAGAGTGCTTCACTTGAGCAGCCTGCTAAGCAACTTAAAATTGGTGCTGTGGGAGAAGCAAAGTTACTTTGGTTACTTTGTTCTTACTGTTGCATCCTGTTGTTACTTACTATGTAACATAATAATGATTTTTTGATTGGGGAGAGAGTGAGAGGAAGAAATGAGATGTAGAAAGAAGATGTAATTTTGGTGTGGGAATAGGGTAAATCTTCCAAGGAAGCATGAAAATAGGCATGAAGAGAGCACATTTTATAAGAAACTGCAGCCCCTACAGGCAGGCTACTGGAATAATCAAGGGCATTGAGAGCATATTTTGAAAAAATTTAAAGGTTTATTTAACCTACCAAAGCAGAGGCAATGAGAAGAGGATATTATTGCTAGTACTTCCAGTGCAGAATGTAAGGATGTCCATTTAATCTTGTATTATTGTTTTATAAAGGGAAATTACTTTAGGTCCTTTTTGCAGTTCTGGAAATCCAGACAATAAGCTCATTCATCCAGCAGCAAGTCTTTTGTCCTATCTCCACTCTAGATACAATACTAACCAATCTAGGAGAAGTTGTACACCAAGTTGTGTTTGGTGTGGATTGAAGCTTGTGATATGATGATTTGGGTATCCTGTTCCTAGGTGCCTTTAAAAGGGAATGGATGACTTGATTGTTGTTCTCATTAATTACATAAGGAGTTCATAGCTGAGTTTCATGTCTTGTGCTGATTACCTGCCAAGTCAAGGAATGAATATATATTTCTATATGTGCCTTGTGTTTAATAATCTGATACCTGAATTTGGTTGTATCTTCTTCCACTCTGAAGTGTAAAACTGATGAAAATTAAAACTCAATGCCATCAAGTGCCTGCTCTTGTCCCATAGACAGGGTCATGGTGGCACTGTGTCCCTAAATCAGAGCGGAATTTTCTCCAGTCAACTCCTTGCCATTGTTGAGTTCCACAAAGAATGTGGTCCACTGTAACTAAGTTCTGTGCTGCTTAACTGAAATCTTTCCTGTACTGGGGTCTCAGGAAGGGATGAGAGGAGACTTTATAGGCCAGGCTTACTTGCAAATCCACCAGGTTACAGCCTGAGGTGCAGCACAAGGTACTTGATGAGCTGTGTTCAGACTGCAGTGAGGTCTCTGTGTGCGTGGCAGGTTGAGGTGTTGTCTGAGATTCCTGCAGCTGTAAGCTTGTCTATGACCTCCTGAAGCTGTGTCTCTTCTGTATGCTGTCCAGCTTTTTAAGCTTCCAAATTTTCAAGAATGAGTTTGGATGTCCTTTCTAAGGATATCAGAAAGGAATCATGGAGTAATAAGGACCATTTACAAGACTTCATTTTTTTATGCCTCTGAAAATTTCTTTGAACGTGGGGAGTATTTTTAGTTTGGAAAAAGGGGATAAATATTTTAGAACATAACAACGGATTTGACTGCTGAGAGCTAGCGAATGCAGTTTGCTAACATACTGAGAAGGAAAACAGTGAAAATGAGAGTTTGTGTTGTAGAAACACTGTTAAATTGAAAATTGTAGGACTGAAAAAGTTGCCGTAGGTAACTCTCTTGCTGTGACAGAAATGAGGTGTTAAAAGTATTAGAGACTGCAGTTTCAGCAGACACAAAGCTATGTGCCTGCAATACAATGTGACCCCAGTGCACAAGAGACTTTCCTCCTTGCTGACTGCCATTTTTTATTTCAGTCAAATCCGGGTATTGTCACTTGCCTTGAAAATCATCCACACAGGCTTGAAACAGGACAGTTCTTAACCTTTCGGGAAGTTAATGGAATGTCGTGCTTGAATGGTTCCACACACCAAATAACAGGTAAAGTGCTGCTGACTCATTTGCAAGGTACTTATTTTCTGGCCTGGTTTAGCCATTGCAGTGTTAGTTACCATGGTCAGAGGAGTGCTGGATTGTGCAGACCTCCAGTGAGCTTGCACAAAAAAATTGCTTTTTGGTGCAAAGGTCTTCCTGGTGTTGTTTTGATAGCATTTAGTAAAGGCTACCTGAACTCATCTTGCTGCTTAAGGAGCCAGTGGAATTGCTCAGCTCAAACTGTGGAATCTAGTTGGCAGCATCTGAGCTGACCATCCTTCACTGCTGATGAAACTGGTTTGGTATTTGGAGGGTCCCATAATGCCTGTGCTTCTGTCATGGTTTTGGATACCACTTGGTGTGTCATTGTTTGCCTTGTAGCTTTTTTGGGTGACGATTTAAGTGTACAGGGATGCATTGACAATGTTCTAAGAATGCTTTTGAAATTATTTTCATGATTTACATCTACCCTGCTTTGTTTTACTTCATGCATGTCTCAAGGCATTCTGCTTGGTTCCTTTTGGATACTAGGGAATTTTCCAGTTCCCAGATCTGAATGTCTGTTTGTAGCAGAAGAGAGAGCAAGTGGATGGGGATTGTTTGTTTGTTTTTACCTGTTTTGTGGTCTGAGACAAAAACCAGTACCCTTGAAACACGTGCTTGAATCTGTTTCCTCTGGGCCCTTGCATTTTGCTAGAACTGATGCTGCAGTCAGTTCATTGCTCCTATTCATGGCTTAGCTTGTGGTTTTAGTTTTCCATGAATTAACAATTTTTCTGTCTTTTTGCCTTGCCTGAATGATGCTTCCCGTGTATGAGGGGGGAAAATGTGTCAAAATGCTCCAGCTGCCTTTTTTGATTACCTGTAGTTCTCATCACAGGGCTAAAATCCTACTCAGAGCAGTTAATACTGGACACTGCTGTGCATGTTCTAAAGAAAATTAAATGCAATTTCATTTTTGTTAAAGAGCTGTGGTCATCAGAATTCTTGTTAAATCTGCTGCCACTTAAAAAAGCTCATTTCATAACAGATCATGTGAAACTAATGCTTTGTCCCTCTGCCAGTTTCTGGGTTAATCCTGTTAGAAGGATCAGCTGTGCTTATGCTTCCAAAACGAGGTTGCCTGCTACAAAATTGCAGTGCTAAAAGAAAGGACAGGAAAACCCCCCCCCACTTCATTGTATACAGAACTGTAGCATCCAATGGCACTTTGAATTATCTGTCACTGTTGATTGTCTTCTCTTTTCAGTGGTGTCACCTTACTCCTTCAGCATTGGTGATACATCAGAGATGGAGCCTTACCTGCATGGAGGCATAGCTGTGCAAGTGAAGACGCCCAAGATGTGTTACTTTGTAAGTGGGTCTTTGACAGAGCTGGGTTCTCAGGTATTAATGCTCTGAGTACTGGAAGCAGAGTTCAGCACATACATGTTTCCTAGAATTATAGAATATCCTTTGTTTGGAAGGGACCCACAAGGATCATAGACTCCAGCTCCTGGCTCTGCACAGGACAGCCCCAGAAATCACACCCATTTAAAGATGAGTCTTGCCACTAGGATATGAAACCTCTCTGACCATTTTTGATAGAAGTTGCAGTAGATAATTATTTTTAGCATCTACTACGGTATGAATAATGAAAAGAGCAATGGCAGTGCTGGTCAGAAAGGATATGTATTTCTTAATCTCTGTAGGAAGAGTATTGTTTTGTCAGGTAGAAGTGGCTGTTGTGTTCTTAAGTAGTGTGTTGTTGTCATGAATTCTGCTTTTCCAGGAACGGCTGGAGAAGCAGATAACAAATCCATTATGCCTTGTTGCGGATTTTAGCAAGCCTGAGGTAATTATCTTGTGGGGATTTGGGCATAAGTGCTCTAATAGTAAAAATACATGAATTGTAATCTGTAACTTTAGCATATAATTTCTTTTTGCCCTTCATGCTGGGCTTTGTTATTGATGTTTGGCAAAATGCAGTGCATTATAATTTCTAGTTAGAAGAAGATTACTGCACTTTCAGCTTTAAATTCTTTTGGGGACTCTTCAGTTGGACTTAGTTGAGGTGCGTGTTGTATGTGTGTAAAGGGTGTTGCATTACTGAGCAACAATTTTTGAAAAACAATAATAAAATGTATTTCAAAGTCACTTTTAATGTTATTTTAAAAATTTTTTTGAGTGTTGTATTTAAGAGACAAGAAATGAAATGGTAAGAAAAAAGTTCAGATAGTTGTTTTTGTTTACGTCATTTCTTTCTAGTTTGTAACTGATCAACAGCTGTTTTTTTCTTAACAGGCACCTTTGCAGATCCATGTTGCCATGCTTGCCTTGAACCAGTTCCAGGAGAACTTTGGTCGTGGACCAAACATTGGGTAAAGCAGCAGTGTGTTTGCAAAGCCCCGAATCAGACAGATCTCTCCTTTTTGTATAATTCCTGGGTGGCTGTGAAGCAGGGTACCTCCCCTGTCTGGTGCCTGATAGACCATGTAGAAATGGAAAGTTGAAAAATGTTACCTGATGTGTGTCTGGGTGTGTAACAAGGCTTTCCCAATACAGCAGTGACACTCTCTGGGCCCAGGTAGACAGCAGATGCTTCTGGAGGAGGCTTCTGTTCTAGTTTTTTTACATTGTGGGACTGATATGGAAAAGTTGTTTCAGTGATCCTAGATTGTCTTGTAGTTCATGGATTTAAAAAAAAAAATAACGTAATGATTTGGGTTTAATTTTCAGTGGTTTTCATTCAGCTGTAGTTCTTAATGTGTGTAATTTTGAGCTAAATGAAATAAAATTACTTAAAAAGTATAAATCTTAAAACTGTACTTGCGCCTGGGCTTTTCCACTGAGACTCCTGTTTTTGAGCTAACCCTAACATTTAGAAGCACATCTTGAATGCTCACTGTTAAAGATAACGAGATTCTAAACTTCCTTCTGTATCTGTTGCTTTTTTCTTTCATTGATTGTGTTTCTACACAATCAGTGTAGAACTTCGGAATGTTTAAGTCATCATTATTGTTTCTACCCTGGTGTCTAGATGCCTTCAAGATGCTGAGGAAATGCTGAAAATAGCCATTTCTATAAGTGAAACACTGGAAAACAAAGTGAGTAAGGAATCATTGTCATTATGACTCACTTTTTAATGTGCTTATTTACTTGCTTAAAAGTCATGTTTTATTTGTTGGTCCTTGTTCTGGCTTTTGAGTCCATTTTGAGATAGATCAGCTGGCTTTCTGAAGGCCATGTGAGGAAACAGAATGAGATATCAGCATGGGTTCAACTGAATGTTGACCTGATATGAAGGCTGATCCTGTGGTGATGTGAATCCAGTTTTTAGACAAATGCATGTGACAGATACAGGTTATATGGTGGATCTGTCTTGGGTGGAATCTTGGAAACCTTTTTGCTAGTCAGAGTGAAATAATCTGTCTTTTACTGAAGAAGAATGGTCTGTGAAACTGTCAAACACTGACTTGTTCACTGAGGGGGTAAACCTGTTCCCGTGTCTTACATTTCAGCCTCAGGTGAATGGAGATGTGGTGAAATGGCTGTCTAGAACTGCTCAGGGATTTCTACCTCCTTTGGCTGCAGCAGTGGGTGGTGTTGCTAGCCAGGAAGTCCTGAAAGCAGTAACAGGAAAATTTTCTCCATTGCAGCAGTGGGTAAGGCTGTCTTGGTTTTTGGATGATTATTTTGACATCTCATGAATGGATAGTTGTGTGTAAATGCTGTATATTCAGAGTAACCTGAACAACTCCTATAGCATGGAACTAAAAAAAAAAAAGAAGATTTGAGACTATATTTAGAATAAGCAGTGTTTTTATGTGTACAATAAAATTACAGCCAGTTTTAGTAAAAAGAAATTGTATTTGGGGTTCAGATAGCACATTGTTTTTCCACACTAGCAAAAAGAGCCTTGACTTGTCACTGCATGGATGCAAAGGTGTGATATAGTGCAGATACCAGCTTAAGCTACTGTACGTAAGAGCAGGGCTTTCAGACTCTCAGGAGAAATGTCAGAGTACAGTTGGATTAAAAAATGTCACCATCTTCAGAGTTACCTATGGAGGGGTAACATGCCTGTCAGAAGTCAAAAATTTGCAGCTCACCTGTTTGGGTTGTTTTGTCCCCTCTGTGTTCAAGTGTTTTTTCCTGTCCTCTAAAATTGTGAGCTGAACTGTAGGGTACCAGATGCTGTGTAGTCTTCCAGTGACAGTAAAAACTTGGTGCTCCTACATTTCCAGACTCTGTTGTTCATACAAAGTACTTAGTTTTCAAATTTAAATAACATGAATGTTTTTCACAGGTTTTTAATGGATTTCTTTTCTTTTTTTTTTCATTCTTTTGCAGCTATATATAGATGTTTTAGACATTGTAACACCTCTAGAGAAGGTGGGCTCTGAGGAGTTTCTCCCACGGTAAATATAACTACAAGCTGCTGCCTTATGTACAGTTCACATCTGAGTCTCAAGCAGGCACAGATGTCTTTTAAAGTTAATTCAGTGCTGTTTGCTGGAGGGACAGGTTGGGGGTTAAGAATGTGTGTCCTATTTTAGCATGAACAGGAATTATAGACTCTGTCTATAGACTTTCTTAGTTCATGTCCAATTGTAGTTTGGCATCAGTGGTGCTACCATGATAAATAGCAGCTTGAAGTCTCCTGTTTTTGTCTCCTGTGCCTGCATAGGGGAGATAGATACGATGCCTTGAGGGCTTGTATTGGAGACTCTCTGTGCCAGAAGCTCCATGATTTGAATGTTTTCTTGGTGAGTATGACTGACACTGTTATACTTTTTGCAAATGCTTTGTTGGTACAGCTAATGCCCACTGTCCTCAAAATACATGAGGGCAACTCTGTGATGTGTCACTGCAGAATAAATGGTCCTGAACTGGAGTGGACTTTTCTTTGTGGTTTCCATTTACATTTCTGATTCTACAAATATATGTTCTTTAGGTTGGCTGTGGAGCCATAGGCTGTGAAATGTTAAAAAACTTCGCACTTCTTGGTGTTGGTACTGGGCAAGAGAAAGGATTGGTAAGTCACCTGTTAACCTTACTTCTCCCTAGAAGTAGTGTGACGGGGAAGAATTAAATGATTTGACTACTAAAATTCTTAAAAGCTTAAGTCTTGCTTCAGGTTTATCTCTGTGCAGAAGATACAATGGCCTTGGCATAGAAGGGTGTGCAATTAGAAGGAGAATACACTTGGAGCACTCTTGCTGTATTTTGATTTTAAAACAAAATTTAGTCAGTCAGTGTAAGCAGGGCTTTGGCCACAGTGGATGCCAATAGCCGTGTTTTGTTTAGACAAGTGTTTATAGAAGTTTCATCAAGATCATTGCTCAGTGTTGCACTTAAATTGTAACTTCAGCTGTTGCTTTTGCCCCTTCTGACTTAGGTTACAATTACAGATCCAGATTTGATAGAGAAATCCAACCTGAACAGGCAGTTTCTTTTTCGACCTCATCACATACAGGTAGGCTTTCTTATTCAGTAAATTTTCTGGACTATTGTGTTTCTCTGTCCTGTGTTCGTACAGAGAGCTGAACTTGAGTGTCTGTACTTCTGTCTGGAAAAGACTTAAAGGCTGTAATGAAATCTAGGGTTTTTTTTTAAACAGTGCCTAGAACTCCTATGGTATCCAACTCATCACTAGTATCAGTTAAGTAAAATTGGCTTGTCTAATCTTAATTTGTACTGGTGTTTTTGACTAATGAAATCTCTCAAATTTGACAGCTGGATGAGTACTGAATTGCTTAAGAGCCTGCCATGCATTACTATGTTGGAAATGCTCTACTATGCCATTGAAATTTGGGGAAAATAAACCAACAAAAAATAGACAGTGCTGGTAGAAATGTTCTTGATATAGCTCAGTAGTGGTGCTGCTGATGGAACTTGACCAAAGTTTGTGTCTTCTGACTTAATTCAGTTTTCACTAAGCTGGTAAATAGTTTTGAAAGAGCCCAACATGTACATTCAGTAAATGCATGACACAGAAGCTGTTAATTCCTTAGAAGCTGAGAGAACATCCCCGTACTTGCAAACACAGCACAAAATAAGAAAGGTGGCTTAGATCATGACAGCAATGCAAAAAAAGGCTTCCCCTGCTCAAAACCAAACAGTTGAATTTTCTGCTTCCTGTTTATGTGTAGCAAGTGTGGGAACAGACTGCACTTTGGATGGATAGATAAATGGAAGATGAACCCTGCAAGCTTTTAGAAGCCACAGACTTGAGTGCTGATCTGATCCCTAGATAATTGTGGTATGGCTAGAAGTGTTGGGTAGGTCAAGAACTCTGTTTCAGTTTAGCTTCTGAAATTTGGTTTTGTGTGAATGCCTTGCAGTATTGTGATTATTCACAGGTGCTTGATGTCTGTACTGGATAGACCCAGAGTTACTAATGGGTTTATCCTCAGACAGTCATGAGCTGCTCATAAGAAAAGAAATTCTTATGAGTGGCAGCATCTGGCATCAGTTTCAGTTACTTGATAAACCGTTTAAGCACTTCCACGATGTGGTCTCTGAAACACTAAATAAAAAATAAAACTAGATTTATAAGATATTTATCAGTGAGGGAGGTATATAATTAAATATGTTGTTTATTGTATGTTTTGCATATTAATACTTCTCGCAGTGAATTTTGCCTGATCAGTAAATGAAGTTGCTATTTCTGTGTCCCTGATGTTCTTTATCTGCATATTGCTGATATCTGTATATATGCTTTCAGAAACCTAAGAGCTACACTGCAGCAGAAGCAACTCTGAACATCAATCCTTACATAAAAATTGATTCAGATATTAATAAAGTTTGTCCAGCCACTGAGAACACTTACAGTGATGAATTCTACACCAAGCAAGATGTGATTGTGACTGCTTTGGACAATGTTGAGGCCAGGAGATACATTGATAGGTAAGGGGTGGAAGGGAAGCAAGGGCAACTGTTAACTTTTGATGAGGATGAGAATACTCCATCAGTTTTAAGGCTGAATTATTAAAGCATAAAATATGGATTTAAATTTAAAAGTAGAGATATTGACACTTACAGATAATTTCTAATGCTCATAATCCACACATGCTGAGGTGTATGGTATCCTGATCTAACCTGAATAGTTCTTGTTTAATATCTTTTTTCCTGAGTTTAGTGTAAGCTTTCCACTCTTCTGAAAGTGCCTAGAGACAACTCTGGTTGCACTCCAGTAATGTGTGCAAGGCAAGAATGTAGAGATTGTTCTGTACTCTGATAGTCTGTGTCTTTCCATGTCAGTCGTTGTGTAGCAAACCTGCGTCCTCTTATAGACTCTGGAACTATGGGAACAAAAGGACACACAGAAGTTATTGTGCCCCATCTGACAGAGTCCTACAATAGTCATGTAAGTCTTCCAAGACCTTCTCTCACCTTCTGTAGCTTGTCCCATGATGCCCTCTGATTCTCTGATCATTTTTATGTGTCTTTCTAAAATAAGTGGCCTATTTGAGCTGCTGAAGAACAGTACTGTTAAGAAATAATTGCTTCCTTTGTTTCTGAAGAAAACTCACAGGAAATAAAATTTGAGCAGTTCTTTACAAGCATACATAATAGTTCTGTTTGAATGGGAAAGGGGAAATGAACCTTCAGGCTCTGTTGCTGATAGACACTACCTGCAGTGTTGCTCTATTTTAAGTTCTTGTGGAGATATTCACTGGTTGAGAACACCATGAAATAGTGCATGTGGACACAGAGACAGGATTTTGAGCATCCTAGCTGTCTTGTTAGGGTCCATACAGAAGTCTTTCTGGCCTTCAGTGACAGGGCATGAAAACCTTTGATGTTGAAAGTGTACATGAATGCCAGCTCCACATCTTGGAAAAGCTGGCTGGCAGTTTCACTTGTTTGTTTCAAAGTTCAGTTTTGCTTTCCAGTGTTGAGTTTAGACTACTCCTCATAAATAAGAATTGACAATACTAGCTAGTGTTCATAAAACAGATTTCTAAGCATAAAAAGCCACTTTGTATTTTATAACAGCAGAGTTTTTAACTTCCGTAGTGTACAAGTTCTTGGTGCTATTATTAGCAATTAACCTGGATAAGCCTGCATTGACATGCAACCCTCTTTAATTACAGCGGGATCCACCAGAGGAAGAAATACCTTTTTGCACCTTGAAGTCTTTCCCAGCTGCTATTGAGCATACAATACAGTGGGCAAGAGATAAGGTAATGAATTAACCTTTCTGGCATTCAGCACAACTTCATGTGTGTTTGGAAGGGCTGGCATCTGATATTCTTCTTGCATAATGCCATATTTGTTCTTTTTATTTTACAGTTTGAAAGTTCATTTTCTCACAAGCCTTCATTGTTTAACAAGTTCTGGCAAACCTATCCATCAGCAGAAGAAGTTTTACAGGTAAGGGAATGTTGCCAGGGTAAAATAGAGGGTTTAAACAACTGCTTTATGGATTTTATTTCTATTTAAGGCCAGTGAGATTAGGGTTAGTTTCTGACTTTTTTCAGAAAACCTGAAGATTTACTTGGCCAAGTCATTAGTTGATCATATGAGCAGTAGTTCTGGTGTGTCTCATAATTAAAAGCTTCTCCAGCTCATAGGCTCTGTACATGATGTAGAAATACCAGAAAAACTGAGATACTGCTAGTGTGTGATTAGTGTATGTCACACTGATATGTAACTAGCTGGGAAAAATGAAACTAAGACTGAGTTTGAAGTGAGTTCAAGTAGTAATAAATTAGATTGGAATTGTTTACTGTCTTTTTCTTTTGAGTGTGTAATGGCCTGTGGTTCAAAGGGCTGGTGGAAGTAAATGGGGAAAAACCCCAGTGGAAAGGAGCACATAAAGGATACTATTTCATGAAGTGAACATCGGTTTCCTCTTGCCTGTGGATTACTAAAAACATATGTACTGTTTGACTGGATTAGGAGGAATCTTGTCTGTTTTAACTTTTTCATGTTTCTTTATCTAGAGAATAAAAACAGGAGAGAGCTTGGAAGGCTGTTTTCATGTTATTAAAACTCTCAGTAGAAGACCCCGAAGTTGGACTCAGTGTGTAGAACTAGCAAGAGTAAAATTTGAAAAGTATTTTAGCCATAAGGTAAGTAAGATCTGTAAATGAGGTAGTGTGATGAGGATGATGAAGATTTTAGAAAACCTGGTGTCCCTAATAATGAGGTGTTCAAGTCTTTGCATTCACTTTCATCTCTTCATAAATAACAAATTATATTTGAAACCTAAAAATGCGGCGTCCCTTTTTAACTGTAGCACTTCTAGGTCTGGTTTATTAACTCACTCTTAGTACTCTGTTCAGTATTCTCCCTGCAGTTTTCTTGGCATTTTTCCATTGTTTTCCAAAGTGTCACGATTATCAGATGTCTTTTATTAGGCAGTGGGTTTTTGTTTCCCTCGCTAGACTTCAGTTACTGAACTCACCTTTGTAACTCTGATGTTCTCAAAGTTTTTTCTGAAATAAGAGCCAGTTGTTCTGGCAGTCTGGTCCGCAGTGTCTCTTGAAGTATGTGTGTAATTTTGTAGGAAAGATGGGATTGGGATGTTGTGGATTAATAAACATTCCTATGCATACAGGATCCCTGGTGGTAGTTGTCACGTTGAGAAAATATTGCACTACAAGTTGTGAATCCATATGCAAGAATCCTAAAGTGACAGTAAGGTGGGGGAGAATGCATTGCTTCTTGGATTAAATGCCTTCCTTGAGCTTTGTACAGATGAGGTGACATTGTCATCTCCGTTCTGTGAATGAAATGGGCAAGCACTCTGTCTAGTAGTGCTTGTCTTTAAGCTGTCCATCTTGACAAAGGTGTTTGATTTTCTTAACTCTTTAAATTACTTTAGCTAGTCAGGCTTGATTTAGTGTGGTCATGTCAATCTATGTGACAAATGACTAAAGCTCTCTGGTTTTTCCTCTAGGCTCTTCAGCTCCTTCATTCATTTCCCCTTGATACACGATTAAAAGATGGAAGTAAGTACAAATGCCCCTTTATGCCTGTTGAAAATTCATGGCATATGTCATGTTGTTGCTGCTCCTGGTTCCTTAGGATTTCATCTTAAGTCTGTTTTCCTACCAGGTTTGTTTTGGCAATCACCAAAGAGGCCTCCTTTCCCAGTGAAGTTTGAATTTAATGATCCTTTGTAAGTATAGTACTGTCCCAGCTGAACTCAGTAACATCCTATAAAGCCCACCTTACAGCAGGAAGTGCAAGGCTGTGGCTTTATAGCCCTGGAAGTTGGACTGGAATCAATAGCTGTTAGTGCACAGTCTTACCCAGTGGCAGATTTGGTGAGCTGCCAAATACTTTCACTGCAGATAATTTAACTTTCACTGCTATGGGATTGGAGGGTGCTTTTCTGACAACATCTAATGTGAAATGGCTTAGAACAACCCATTTCATGTCTTATATGGCTGCAGAATTACTGAGTTGTTGCTGTCACACCTCCCTGCCCCCACTGTCTACATCATAAAATGCAGGATGTGCCAAATGACCTAGTGAAGGGATTACTTTTCTTGTTCAATACAATTTGGGTCTGACCTAGATGGCTTGGGTATTACAGATAATTTTAAAAATGGATGTGGTTGATGAATTAAAAAGCTTTTATCTTCTGTATATCTACAATTGCTTTGAGAAGCTGGATCACTGTTTTTAGTTTGGGTGAAAACTGACATCATGGTAAATATCAAAGTAATTCTGAGATTAAGCTTTTTATCATATTGATGTCATTTGAGCATTGGTAATTGTTTGCTTGACTGCAAAGGATAAGGAGGCATGGTTTTCATTAAATAACTCTCTACTCGTCAACATTTGCTTAGTTTTGGGGACATCTTCTGAGTCACTCAAAGTGTGCTATTTTGTACTGTGTACACTAAAGGATGGAAATTCTCTTTCTCAGTATGTTTGTTCAAGATCTTGAACGTGATTGCAAACCTTTGGGCAACTGAAGTAGAAAAAACAACCAACCAAAAATAATTCTTTTTTCTTTAGGCACTATGGTTTCATCGTGAGTACAGCAAAGCTCTTTGCAACAGTGTACTGTGTTCCTTTCACAGAAAAGGTAATCCAGACTGTAACAGTGTTCCCTTAACTTGGTGTTCAGTTTTGGCCTATGACCAGCTGCCAGTTCTTTTCAAGGGCTGATTAAAGAGATTCTTATAGTAATCTGTCCTTCAGTACTGTCTGTTTGGCAGCTGCTTACACTTTATTTAAATCCCTAACCTGGAAAAGAAATGAGTAGTGTATTGGATATTTTAAGTAAGCATTGAACTTAGTAATTATTATTTTGATGCAATATAACTACTGAACTGAATGAAAATCTCTTTAAGGCTTTTTTAAAAATTTATTGTCTTAGTTATGCTATGGAGGTTTTATTTCCTACTGCTTACAGTCTCTGCATTGCTTATCTTTTTTTTTTCTTGTTTTTTAATTGGACCTTCCTGTAAGTCAGGTTTGCACTTCTGTTCAGTTTTCTAGTGCTAGGCACTTCACACTGCTCTGGTTTGTTGTGGCAAATGAATTGTCACTTGGTGTTTTAATGATGATGTTTAGCTGAAACATCCCTGAATATCTGTGAGACTTTTTGAGTCTAGTATTCTTTGAAATCCTATTGTATTACAGTCTTTTTGTGGAGGCCTTTTTGAGTTGATGTGAATTTAAATTGTTTTTCTTCAAATCCATAACAGGACTTGTCAGAGGAGACCATTTTGGGGATTATTTCATCTGTGAAGGTACCAGAGTTTAGACCTTCAAACAAAGTAAGTGTAATATTTAATTTAAAGAAAAAAATAAAATATTCCACAAGCATTGTCCCACATCTCCAACTACTGCATTGATGCCAGTGAGAAATAAACACAAACGATAATGTTTTTTGGGGAAATAAGTGTGTTAAGGTTAGAGGGAGCCCCTGAGGAATACCTAGTTCAATCCTCTTGCTTAAACAGGGGCAGCTAGAGCAAGTCATCAAGGACTATGGCCCACTGGGTTATGAATATCTCTGAGAGTAGAGACTTCACAGCCTCTCTGTGCCAGTGTTCAACCATCCTCACAATTTTTCTAGGATGCTTTTGTTTGTTTCTTTTTCTTTGCAGTATGTTTGTATGTTTCTTAGGGAATTTTGTGTGCTTCAGTTTGTGTCTTTGTGCTGTCACTGGGCCTGCTGTGCTGTCTGTATTTCCTCCCATGAGATACTTGTGCACATTGATAAATCCCACTGACCCTTGTCTTCTCCACTCTGAACCACCACAGCTCTCAGCTTCTCCTCGTATGAGAGATGCTCCTGTCCTTTAATGTTCCTAGAAGCTCTTGGCTGGACTTGATCCAGTAAATCCATGTCTCTCTTGAGCTGGGGAGGAAAGCCTGCAAGACAGGAAATTTAGTACACTTGACACCTCTGCTGTATGAAGTTTATGTATTTTATTATTCAAGCTCTGCACACTTGCAGGTTGTACAGACTGATGAAACTGCAAGAAAACCAGATCATATTCCTGTCAGCAGTGAGGATGAAAGAAATGCTATTTTCCAGCTGGAGAAGTCTATACTATCCAATGAAGCACTGGAAAGTGAGTAGTGTAAACCAGTGTCATAGTTTAGGAATATCCTGCATTTGCATTTGCCACTAGCCACATTCGCATCTTTGGATGAAGCAGTTCTGGAATTCTGCAAGAAGTAGAGCTCATACCTAAAGCTTTCTGAAGTGCCATGCAGATACCTGTCCTGTTGCTTGACATTATCTTATGGTTCTGTATTTTTGTGATTCCTGGAAGTTTTAGGGCTTTCTCTTATGCTTGCTTGTAATTACAACACTGATGACAGGGAGCAGGCAACAGTGGGGAATTGAACTCTAAAGGAGGGGGAAAGGGTGCTGGCTGGATCCCAGATGGACTGCAAATGATTTGGGCATGAGAAGGCTGAGTGTTACTACTTAGAGTTCTCAGTCTGAAATGATCCTAAATTATAAAGACTGTTAAAAGTCTTCCTCAGCATCTTCTGGATTTAAAATGAGGATGATCCCATTCCATTTTGTGCCTGGCCACATGAAGAGGCCACTAGGTGATTTAAAATGAGGATGATCCCATTCCATTTTGGCCACATGAAGAGGCCACTAGGCAACAACTACACACAAGCTTTTTTAGCCCATGAATCCAGGAGAAAGATTAGCTTATTCCTAACTCATTCTATGGAGTGTCAACTCAAAACTCTGATTCCAATGCTACTGAGTCGATATTTTGAAATTTTTTCAGATAAACTAAGGTTTAAAAGGCAATTCTCTCAGGATGGAGCTTTAGTGAGGTGGGGTGTATGAAAAACATCCATAGGGATGTTCAAAATCTATTCTTGGTGGTGCAAGGAAAGTAAAATTATAGAGCTCTGTTGATGTTTATTTCATTATTCACTTTTAGCAAGTGATATTATGAGGGGCATATCCTAGCATAGGAAAACAAGTAAGGCACCAAGCTCCAGGATGTGAAATGTTTAATTTGTTAAGGTTCTGCTTCCTTTAAATTGTGTTTAGGACATCTTCAGTTTTTTAATAATAATTTTTTGCTCTTTTATATTTTCTTTTTGATGAGCAGCTGACTTGCAAATGAAGCCCATCTCCTTTGAGAAAGATGATGATAGTAATGGGCACATAGATTTTGTAACAGCAGCATCAAACCTGCGAGCCAAGATGTACAACATCGAACCAGCTGATCGGTTCAAAACAAAGCGCATTGCTGGAAAGATTATTCCTGCCATTGCAACAGCTACTGCTGCAGTATCAGGGCTGGTGAGATTGATTTTTAAAATGCATATTTCTTTCTCTTACTGTTTCTTGCCTTAAACTGCTGTTGTCTGGGTATTGATTACTGCTACCCTGACAGAGGCTCCTCTAAAGAAATAGATTTCTTTCTTATGTACCAATAGCAACAGTAATGCTTGATTCTAGGTGTGATTGTTGAGGAATGCATGTAGTGCAAGTAGCTCAGCATGGAGTTGCAGTGCCAGCTGAAGCTTGAGCTCTGTGTGGGAGCCTCAGGCCAGAGGTTGTGAACTGATGTTGACCCTTTGCACAACAAAGGGCATGGGGACCTGTGGCCCAGGACCAGACACTCCAGGACACAGCAGGAGCTGAGGACTCAGCTGGAAGACCCTGGACTGTTAAGCACCGAGACTGTAAGGGTACAAAAGCCCAGGTTGTCCTTTGTTCAGGGCCCCTTCTCCAAGGCACCAGCTTGAGCTGTTATTCTGTTGCTATACCATGGTAAAATTACTCAAAGAACCTACAAGTCTGAGACTCTGCTAAGGAAAACCCAGCGTCCAGCAAGGAAACCTTGTCTGGCTGTGAGAGTGGGTGAGTAGCAAGGCAGTGATTGAGAAGCTGCCCCCTGTGAAGGGGATTCAGTCCCAGCAGTGAAAGTCTTTGGTGGTGTGAGTGTGGCTGCTGGAGTGGCTCCTGAATGGTCAAAAAGGAAAATTTCCTTAACTTGGTGAGTCTTGGATGCTTTTATTTTTGATTTGCAGCACAGAAAGATGGGTTGGAATTTTGCATTTTGATTTGTTTTTGGCCATTAGTACTAACTTCCATCAGAATGCCGCTGCCAAGAGTGGAAAGGATCTGTTTTGTAGTAGTTCATGTTCATGCATCTCAACAGAACCTCATGCTTTGTGGAGATTGCATGAGCCAAACAGTTTTGGAAGAGTACTACAATAAATACAGTTTTGAATGTTTTAAGTATTTCTCTTGGCTGCAACAGAATTTATTTATGTGGCATAGTGGGTTGCATTTCCATGTTATTTACTCTGCTGATTGGACTGATGTCATTAACAACTTCCTTGGTAGTTGCTGGCCTCTTAACTGCACTAGAGTTGATAACACTAAAACCTAATAAATAAATTCTAATTTACTGCAGGTTGCACTGGAACTCATCAAAGTTGTGGGTGGCTACCCAGCTGATGCATACAAGAACTGCTTTCTGAACCTAGCTCTTCCCATAATGGTCTTTACAGAAACTGCTGCAGTAAGAAGAACGGAAATCAGGTAGGAAGGACAATGGCAGAAAGGCAAGAACAATATTTGGAAACCTACTAATTGATGCTTAGAACTTGCTGAACCATTCCAACAAGTGTGAATTTTAAATAGTTACTAAATCCAGATATCCACTTTAAGGCTTTATGTGCTCACATAGCAGAGCTGTGATGGAACCACAGCTCATGGCCATACTCCAGTTAAGCATTCTAGATATTCAAGGATATTTTTTTGTTGTTTAAATTTGGAAAATGATTAATTGCTTTGTGCTTGCTATCAAACTCTGCTGTCCACTTACTGTGTACTGCTAGAGGTATAAGTGATCCTTGTAATACTGCCAAGGGTGTCCCATAATGCATTGCCCAAGAACTTCCTGTTTGGAAAATACACATCATATTCATGTGTCCTAATTTTAAAAAATAGTGGCTTTAAAGGCTTGGTTTGGTTTTCAGTGGAAGCTGTTAACTGTGAGACTTGAAAAATGTAGAGAAGGTAGATGTGTGGCATTGTTCTTAGGAAACATCCCAGACATGCTTTTACATCTTGTTCAGTACCAGAGCTATTTTTTAGTAGGTCTGAAAACTCAGTAATTTCATTGTCAGATACCACGTTTACTTAGAGGTCTTACTGTGCCTTAGCAAGGTCAGAGGGCTGGAGAAATGGCAGTAGAGAGGGAAGAGGTTTTTGCTCAAGATTAAACAGCACATCAACAAGAAGATATGGCAGTTCTCCAATACACTTTTAAAGGGAATGACTGAGTTCACATTCTAAAGTAACAACCTTTTACTTTTTAAAACAGAAATGGGATATCATTTACCATCTGGGACAGGTGGACAATTTATGGGAAAGAGGATTTTACTCTGTTGGACTTCATAAATGCTGTCAGAGTAAGTTATCTACTGTTCTGGGTTAAGACAAGAGGAAATCAGTTTCTTGTTTTGGGTTGTTGAATTGTGGTTTGTTTTCTTTTTTATTTCCATCAAGTTACTGTTCAAACCAGAAAAATTTTAGTAATAACTAATGTCAGTGGGAATGTCTCTAATGTCTCTAAGGCATCCAAGCCTGTTTTCAAATTCCTTGTTAATTCAGTTGGCTCAAATGTATCTTAATAAAACTTTCTGTCAGCATCCATGCATTAGCAGGTTTTCTGGTTTGGATCCTATGGATTTCAATAATTAGCTGTAGTATTTGCAGCAGTAGTATCTGCTGCTTTGGGCAGCTGTTCTAGTCTTTTAACAGGTTTTAATTTGTGAATTCCAGGAGAAATATGGAATTGAACCAACTATGGTTGTACAAGGAGTCAAAATGCTCTATGTTCCTGTGATGCCAGGCCATATTAAAAGATTAAAGTTGACGTAAGTATAACTGGAAAATGGGATGCAAGTACACATAAAAATTTTGTTCATTGCTTGTATCAACGCATGCGTGTCTGACAGCATTTTTTCTCAAAGTGATTTCTAGCCATTGATACTTCAGGAAGAAAAAAGATAATTTCTTACTTTATGTAAAAAAAAAAAAATAAAAGAAAAAAGAGAGATTCAGAGGATCAGAGATTCATCATTCATAGATTCTCTCTGTGATGAGAAAAGGAGACTTGCAAAATACTGCTTTAACTGTTGAATACCAGAATGAGAAATCTAAAGAAGTCTGACAGTAATTTCTTGAGGGGAAAGAATGTACCCTGGTTCAAGCAGAACAAGACTACTAGAACCTTTGAAACTGGCTTAAAACTCATGCTGATATTTAGCAACCAAGCTCTGAAGGACAATGTATTGCTTGCAGTTTGAGATTTCTGTAAGTCTGTTCAATTATAGTCATTGCTTGAGATTCAACATCACTTCAGCCCTTTTAAGAATGATGACATTCACAAAGGCTTTGCTATGCTGCTTACAGACAGGAAATTGAGGTATTTCACCCTGGCAGTTTGGCAGGATGTGAAGGCAAGGCACTGGGTTTTGACTGAAGGTCTTAGCAAAATAACAGCCAGATTTCACCCAGGTTTAGTTCTGCCTTACACCTGTGGATTGAACTACTTTAGCTCAAAATCTGTTCCTTACAGCTCCTGTGAAGTGTGTGGTAGTCAGTGCACACAGACTTTGCTGAAGCAAGTGGATGCACTGATCAGTACTGTTTTGAAGGCCTGACAGTAGGTATCAGGCAGAGAGGTATGAGCAAGCTACTTCAAACACCTGGGGAGAGAAGAGCTGCCAAGCTGTAGAGTGCCTGGCATACTAAGATGAGAATTTACAGCCTGTCTCCAAAAACATTGCTTATATGCTTTCTCTTACAGCTGTGTAAATAATTTTGAATGAGTGGGGTATGTTATGAAGTCAAAGTCATGGTATGAAGCTGCCTTCTAGTGAATATCAGGATTTTTTACTACTCTGAGACTTTAATGGGCTGTCAGGAAAATGGAATACAATTTGCTAAAGCTCAGGTGGAGGAACAGCTTTTGTGTGCAAATTAGAGGTGGCTTATTCTTCTTATTCTTTAATTTGGTCTGTAGTATGCTGGGCCAGTACGTATTGCTGGCAGTGAAATTCCTCCTAGTCTGGCCCTGAATTCCCACTGCCAGTCCTCCTAGTGCATTTATGAGCTGCTCTTCATTTCTTTATAGGATGCAAAAGCTTGTGAAACCATCCGCTGATAAGAAGTATGTGGACTTGACAGTATCATTTGCTCCAGAGACTGATGGAGAGGAAGACTTGCCTGGGCCACCAGTGAGATACTACTTTGTTCAGGAAGACAATTGATGGTAGAGACACAAAAGTCACTCATGGACCATTTGTTCTGAAAGGAGTGTGCTAATTTTCAGCTATTAAAGATGGTACTATATATTTCTTTTTGGTGAAGCCTTAATTAAATGGTGAAAATCAGTGGCTTTGCACTGAAGACAAACTGGATTTGTTTCTTCTGCTCCTGTATTCTTCAAGCCTGTTTGCTCAAAGGAGGATTGGTCACTCCATGAGATGGAATGTCCAGTACAGTCCTTACCATAAAGGCAAAATCTGTATTGAGGAAAGCAAGAAGAATGGTGAACCTAAGAAATGGTCCTCATTTGCAAATTAGGCAATTTGCATTTGCTTAGGGAAGAGTGCAAAAAATAGGAAAAGCACCATTTTATGATACTCCTGGTGTTCTAAGAACATCTCAAACTCATTTCATATGTTACTCCATTCTCAAAGAAGAATTTCATTCTTGCCATCTACATGTGAGATTAGATCCACCTGAAAGGCTTAAACTCCCCCTTAAAAGCAGAGGAACTGCTTTGTTGTGTGGCTGCTTAGTGGAGCCCTGCTCAGCACAGCTGTCTTGTGTCAGTCTCAACATGGAAACATAGGGAGGGGGTGTAAATTGTCAAAACTCCCCTGAAGTCCAGAGAGCTGGAATTGTTGATTATCTGCACTAAGACTGTTCTTGTGGAATATTGCAGTGAAACCTACCGGAGAGCCAAATTAGCACTTTCAACAATAAAACTTGGTCTTCAACAAAGAGAAAATGTTCTTGAGCCTTTCTGCCCTCACCAAATTAAAATCATTATAGCACTTGATGATGTCAAAGGGAGGAAAAGACAAATACCACTGGATGTTTGTCAAAGCAAACTGTTACTTCAGCTGCTTCTTTTGATACCATCTCCCTAGAGCAAATTGTTGTGCTGTACACCTGTCCTCAGAACCAGTCTGAGCTGCACTTAACCACGAGGTTTTACCCTCACTGGTCAGTTATTGGGATATGTAATTATAAAATTTATGCTTAATTGGAAATCATTATGGACTAGTTTTGCTGCTGTGGTGAGGCAGAGGTGTGTTACAAAAACACCGTCATTTAACGGTGCACTAGTTTAAGCACTGGGTACTTGAGGTAGTTCTTTTTTTCTCCCCATCACAGAAGAGCAAGGCAAGATTAGAAAAAAAACTTATAAACTGAAATACTCTCTCATGTGTTTCAGCTTTAGAGATTGTTATTGAACATTATGTCCTGCAGCTGTTGCAAAAGCTATTAACAACTTAGCTCTTTATCCTCAACCATAGTTTATTAAGCTTTAGGGATGTCTTCACATTTAATTTAATGATGTCACTAATTAGTGCTAAGGATCCCTTAAAGGTTTAGGTCAACAAGAAAACAGTCACCTCTCACAGTTGGAGGCTGGGAAATGAAAATGAGTAAGTATACTTTGTTATGTTAGTGTGGTGTCAACATCATGCTTATGCTTTTGAAATAAGCAGCATTTAAAAATAGTAAATTCTCAGTACTGTTCTAGAATGCCATATGACTGTCCTCAGGGTTTAAACTAAACTGTCAGATATAATTCATGCAATGGCTTTTACTAATGACAACATGTACACATTTGAGAGCCTTGTAAAAAGTCCAGGTCAAGGGATCACAGCCAGAATTTACAGATATTGCTTTATCTTTATGCTGCTCTTATTGTGTGTGTCTGTTGGATGGATGGATGCTCTGTGGATGGGTTCTGCTCAGTTAAAAATTTGGTTATGGTAAAATTAAAAATGCACAACGACTCTAGATATTTATTAGCACACCTTTAAAATTTTTGGATATAAATTAATCTAGGTAAAAGAACTAGTAACTTCAAGAGGACTTTCTGTAGAAGAACTCGGCATGTCAAGTGGCTCATTAAAACTGTTCTTGATCCTTTAAGCATTTTTGAATTTCTGATATGGAGAGTGAAGATGTTTATGTGGAAGATTGTGGAGTACACTGATTCAGTAAAGGTGTTTATATGGAAGATTGTGGAGTACACTGATTCAGTATTTGTGTTTGATAGAGCCTGTTTCTCAATCTGTTCCTACTTTTTATCAAAAGTCTCTGCAGGTGCTCAGCATGATCATACTAAAAAGGCTCTGGGAAAGTGAATTTTGGGGTGCTGATCTTCCGAATCTACAATGTTGTCACAGTGCTACCAAGCTAGAGGATTATAGGGTTACCTGGAACCTGAGAACTGCTTTATCTCTTTTCCTTTTTTTTTTTTTTTTTGTTCATAGCAGTGAAAGCTTGTATTTGTCTAGGACTGATGCACAATTCCTGTGGAGTAGCTGAAGCTTGCTGTCTTCCTGCCACAATGAAGAACTGTCTTTCCACTAGAGCACTTAAAATAGCTTTCTTTCAAAGTGTTATTCTTTGAAAGAGAAGTTGATTTGCAGGAATGATGTTTTTATCAGTAATGAAAATCCTTCTCACTCAAATGCTTTCTTGAAGAGTTTGCTCATATTCATCAAGCTTTCTCTGAATTTCTATCACTCTTAATAGATGCAGTTAATTAATTTGTGCATGCCAAGTATTAAGCAGCCAGATCAACTTTTCTCTGGTTAGTCATCAGGTTTCTTTAATATTGGGAGTAGTGAGGATTCTGTGTGAGGGTCTCAATACTCTTAACAAGACTGCTTTGATGGATCAGATGGATTTAAGTTTTTATTATCTACACCACAAGTAAAAAGTAGATGTTCCCATATTATTTTCCCACCCTTTTCCTATGTACAGTGAAATACGTGATTTCTTATTAAAAAGATAAAGCTATTCAAGAATAGTGGTATATAGGGAGAGCAACTCTGGCACCATTTAGGCTGTCACCTCTTCATGGCTTTTCACATCCTGAAATAGTACGGGTTTGAGCTAGGCACAGAGTTCATACACCCGTCAGACTAGTCATCAAGTACAAGTAAAGATTTTAGATACGTTTATGATCTTCATGTTTGTTATTTTCCTTGTGTCTTTGAAACAATGTGGATGTAGGCCAGTAGTTTTAGGAAAGGAACTGAATTTCAGCCAAAAGCTGAAATTAACTTGAAAGTTTATCAATCCCTGTGCAATTACAGAAAGCAAATGTGCAGCAATCTAAACCTTTGTCCAAAAGTTGATAATTTGACCAGAGACCTTTTGAATATTTATTTTAGTAAAGGTATGTTGTGTGTGGTTGATTAATTAGCTGGTGCACGTGCTTATCCATGGTGCACAAAGTTATTGATGCTCAAGCTTAAATGTGCCGTAAGATCCATAAGCATTCCATAAGCATTGCTCACAGCAGAGCTGTGTTGGTGACGTGCATCCTTTTGTGTGGCACAGGTGAGAGACAGGGAAGGAGTGTTAAGTTACTACTACTGCCAGCAGCATCCAAGTTTAAATTTCATAGGAAAAAAGCTGCAGCTCTCATCTGATGCATGCTGAGCAGCGCCCTCTTCACAAAGTGATCTAAACTATTTTCGTGAAAAGAAAGTGCTAACCTCCCACTCTATGATGTACTTCGGGATTTTCCTTTAGTGGTCAGAAAGGATAGGGATAGGACCTGGTGTTCCGGTCACAAGTGTGTGACAAAAAGCATCACTTAAACCTGTGTATTTGAGCAGTGTTTTGCCGGCACTGTAAGGTACCGCGACCTTACGTTCTCAAGCAGTAGTTGTTTTTTGCTCGTTGTTGAGTTCTAGAGTAGAATTTTAAAGAAAAAATTGCAACGCCGCGTGGTGACAAGGGATGCTTTGTAGCGCTTGGAAACCCGAAGATTTGAACTGGTGTTTCCCACGGGCGCAATAAAAGAACGGGAAGAATCCCGCGCCCGTCCCCTCAGAGAAAGGCGGGGCGGACGGGCGCAGCAGCCTCTTCTGCGCAGGCGCAACAGCCGCGCGCGCCTAAATGAGCTGCCCTGCCGGGTGCGCGGCAGCCGCCGGCCAATGGGACGGCGCCGGGGGGGCGTGGCCGGGGCGCGCCGTGCGCGCGCCCGCCGGCAAAGGCGCGCGAGGTTCGAAGGCGGCGCTGGGCGCGCGCGCGCCGGCCCCGGTCCGGGATGGCGGAGACCTTGGTGAGAGAGCGCGGCAGCGGCCGGGCTCGGTGTCTCTGTATGTCTGCGTCGCTGTCTGCGTGTGTGTCTCTGTCTGTCTGCCTGGTTTGTTATGGGCGGCGGCCGGGCCCGTCCGTTGCGCAGAGGCGCGGCCCTGGGCGCGCTCCTGAGGGGAGGGACGGGGCCGCCCTTGCACTTCCCCCTGAGGAGAGCGAGGCTGGCACTGGGGTTCCGCGCTCGCTCCGGGTCCGGGCGGGTGGCACCGAGATTTGTGCTCGGAGGGCTGGGCTGTCGGGAGCCGCGTTCCCCTCAGGCTGCCTCTGGGGAGCCGCCTTCCACGGGAGAGCGGGCACATCCAGAGCAGGACGCTTGTGCAGCCACGCTAGAATCGTGCCTAAGTTTTAAAATTGTTCACGTGTAGCGCGACACGAACACAATAATAAATGAACCGTTAAAGGCTCTTTTAGGTCCTTGACAGAATTTTTAATTTCTTTAGTGCGCGAGGTCACTTGCCAGTGCATTATGGTGCGCTCTGCTGCGAAGCGAAGGGGGTTTAAGTTTTTGTTCGAGTGCCGGACTGACGGCGGAGTGTGCTTCGTATAGTTTCTGAAGTGATGGCTTGTGGTCAGTTGTTTTCCCGTGTCACTTGTATCCTCCTTTTGCCGATGATGAAAATTTGCAGTGAAATCTATCCATATAGAGTTTGATTGTTTTTGATACCGGAAGTAATATCCAAAGGGGAATCGCAATGAAATGCAAAGTACCGTCATGTGGCAAACTTCCGAACAACATGCAGAATTCTCTTGTGTTAGGATTAGATATTGCTAAATATTCTAAATTTACGTGACTCAGGAAGAGGTTATAGTTGTTTTTCAGCTAAACATTAACATTTTTTTGAGATTTTCCTGTCACATTTGTGAAGAACTGTACTCTGCTTTGCTGTAGAATTTTTCTTGCCCTTCATTCCCATTTTATCCTCTACAACCATTGCTGGTTCCCAGGTCAGCAGCTTTATTTGGTTACACAGAGGATGTGCTGCTGCTTGAATTATTACTGCTCTAGTTGTGGTAAATGACTGGGGTCCTGTCTGCTGTTTGAATGACTGGTTATACTTGGGTTTCAAGTGTATGAAGAGGCACTGTGGCAGTCTAAGAAAAACAGTGCTGCAATAACTCCCCCTCTCCCACTACTTCAAGATGTCTCAAGAATCCTCGAGATCTGCTAACTTGTTTTTCTATCAAGTGCCATCATGCTTGGTAAAAATTGATTCTTATTTCTTCACAGAATCGTTTAAAAAGAGACTACAGAGCAAGATTCTGCCATGGAGGAGGGTAATTTGCATTTAAACACGTATTCTTAGATTCTGGAAAACTTGCCTTGATTTTTATTTTAGAGCTAAATGTCAAAACGACTTGATGTACCTTATTAAACTGATCATATGATGTTTCCCAAATTTCTTGTATTTCTTAGTGGTAAGAGGAGCAAGCTCTGTGGGGGGACAAGGCTCCGTGGTTTTCCTTGCTGAGGCAGCAGATTGTGGTGTGGCTGTCCCTAAGGCACCCCTAACTGGGCTGCCCGAGTAGGGAAGCAGTTTTCTGTGCAAACATGTTGCCTTCTAAGGGGTAGAGAAAAAAATGAAGCCCAGGCAGAGTTCCAGCATGTTTGGACCTTGCTGGTAAATGTTAGAGAGGGGTTTGAGCATTTGCAGTGCTGTGATGTTCTTTACATGTGTGTTTGTGTCTGTGAAGTTTTTGTTGCTGAAATCCATTTCTGGAAATGCATTTCATGCGCTTACCAAATGTACACATTTAGCTGTTTTTAAAGGTATATCATGATCATTATGGGAGTAAAACTCCATGGCTTTTCTAGTGTTGTTTTGGTTTTGATCAGCACTGTCTGGCTGGTGAATCACTCACATCTTCCCTTTTCATTTGAGCTGGTCACTTGCTTATGGATAGGAAACCTTAGGCCTGGTTCTAGGTCTGCTGAGACTGCATCACTGTGCAGGCAACATAGTTCCAGGTCTGATTTATTAAAAAATTACTTATTCAAGTGAGACTAGTCAGCCTAAAGCTCATTTACCTCAGGGCTGTTGCAGTAGTTGCATGTTTTTTATAATGTAGAGAGAATCCTTCATTCTTATAATCTGTGGCAGTGAGGCTTTTTTTTCTGGAATTCCTACTTAGACAAATTTCTTTGCAGATATCTATGCATGGAAATGGTAGATAAAAATATATTAAAGTTTGAACTAGAAGAAGTAATAACCTAAAATATTTAGAAGTAAAACTTTGCTTCTTTAATATTCTTTAATATTTGAGATAAGAGCATTTGGCATTTTTGATTGAAAATATTTTTCCCTCTTCTTTCTAGAAATAAGATTGATCTACGGCCAGGTCAAAACGTACTGAAACTCATACAGGATTGTTTTGAAAGTAAGCTCTTATTTGGTGTTTTGCTTGATTTGCTGATAAAATAAATAATTATTTTATTCCTTGTGTTATATTTAGTGGTAAGTACATAGAAATAAAAACTGGGGATAAAATGGATAAAAATAGTATTTCTCAGGGTTTCTAAGAACAGCCCCTTCTCAGATTTTAAAAACTGTGTCTTAGCTGTCTTATAATCTCTTTCTCAAGCATCTGATTCCTTTCTTGTTTGGATTTACATGACCTTAGTGAGCCTTAGAACTTGTTAAAATAAATAAAACCTGGACAATTCCAAGATTCCCATATTTACTGGTTTTTTCTTCATAGGTTGCAGCAGTGATCTTGCAAGAAACTCTCCAAATTGCTCAACCTTTCTTTTGGATAATGAGAAGAGGACTTCAATCCAGAGACAAAGGCTAAGTTCTGTCAGTGTCATAGTGTAGCACTGGATACAGGTTCATGTGGGTACAAGTTCAGTTCTGTAGCATTTAGTTGTCTATATAAGCACCTGTAAAAGTATGTCAGCTACAATTTAATGATCCATGATAGTTGTTGAAAATGTGTGGGTTTTTGTAGTTTGTTGTGCTCTAATAGTAAATATTCTATAAGTAGAATTATTTAATAGCTTTCTTCCTTGGGTTTTTACTAAAGAAAGCTTCTTCAGCTTTTTGTCCAGTTAATTTTCTCATGGTCTGAGGCTGAAGCACGCTGCCTTATTACCGGTGGTGGGTATGGCTGTCTTGGACTCCACTGGAGTTGGTTGTGATCACTTTGCCAAGTATATGGGTACAGTTCTTAGCTATCAGATGGGCAGTAAAATTTAAAGGGGATTCATGTAGAAAAGCAGCTGGATAACTCCTGGTAGGTATCTGTACAATAACTTCATATATGTCTGTAACTTTGTTGATGAGTGGAAACAAGGTGAAGGCCTTGTTAATGTGCTGCCTGAGAGGATGATGCCAGTAATCTAGGCTGTATATTTAGTTTTAATATTTTGATTTTACTTTTTTCTTTTAAGTAGATATTCTGTTAATGGCAGGGTTTAGAAGAGGCAACATTATAATGGTATTTGTTTAATTTAGTCTGATGTTAGAATATAATCTCAAATCAATTCTTGCTTAACCTCAGCCTGTCCAAATAAAGGGTAATTAAATAGTTTAAATGTATTCATTCTAATGACAATAATAAGTAGTTTACCTTGAGATTAGCCAGATGTCTAATCTCGAGGTTAAAGCTGCATATAGATTTTTACTGTGCACACTGTTTTACCTGTTGTTTGAAATTTACAGTTACTTTTAGAGAGTTTTACACCATAGAAAGCTGAAGTGCTTAGGTGAAATGGAACTGTGATTTGAATGAGTGTGAATTAAGGGAAGAACATAAATTGTATTCATGTTCTATAGAAATGTATATTCCTGTTAAAATACTGTTGCTTTATCAAGTATTTTACTTTGTCTCATTATTTGTTACCAACTATGACAGCACAAGGCAGGGTCAGCCAGCTCTGTGAAAGGAGCCTGTGAGTCTGCAGAACCCTCACCTGCACCACTGCTAAAACCAGTCAGCAGCAGAGGTTGGTCGCACTGATACTAATTAAGGCTTTTAAAGTAACTATTTCTTGAGATTTTGTAAGGTTTTAAATAAAAGAATTAAACTTGCTCTATATATATGGCAGGACAGTCATGTGAATCACACTTGAAGCCTGCAACACCTGATTATGTAGCTACTTCTGAAAAGACAGAGTCTCCTGTGTCTAAAAGTGAAAAAAAAGATACTTTAAAAGATGTTGAAGCACCGTTCCAGCATCCAGCCGTGCCATTGGACCCTGAGAGTGATCGTGGGTCTGTTGGATCACCTTTGCCTGTGGAGGAAGCGAAAAGTTCTCCTGTAGTTAAGTAAGTAGAGCTGACCATGGTTGTGGTGTCATATTCCAGGTGTGCCCCCCACCTCAGGGGAAATTGAGTTTGGACTGTGAACTCATAAAAAATAATTGAAAGGTTTTTAGGAAGTTCTATATCTGGGTTTAGAAAGGGCAGAATTATATTTTATTTAATATTCTGGTGATAAAAAGTGCAGTACCCAAGTGAAGGAAGCCTGTCAAAATAAATTTAAACTCTTTTTTCCAGGAAAGTGCACCAAAGTATCACCTTCTCAGATTGTCTAGACTTCTTCAGTGAATCCTATTGACAGCATTGACTTTAAAAGTTAACAAAAATTTGTTAAAGCAGAAATGAGCAGTCATTGTTCCTCTCGCTTTGCTTTATTCAAAGTAAAATAACTTCAGTTGTGATTGTTATCTCCTTGTTGGAAGACTTCAGCTGAACTGCAGCACTGGCCAGTGTCCTGGCCACAGTTCTGCTTTCCTAGTGGTCTGAATCTCTGGGATAGATCATAAAGATGGACTGACACTGATCCCATTGACTCCCTTTGATGGAATGAGATTGGAAAGACAGTGCACCTACAGTCTAGGAAACCTCACAATTTCTCAAGCACATCCTCCTAAAATTAGGAATTTGTCTTGCTGAGCAGCCTTTACTTTGATCAAGAGTCACATGGTGACTCCATGTTGCCTGTGGGCACTTGCTTCTGTACTGGAAAGCACTACTGCTAACCTGTGTTGCAGCAAGTTTCCAGAGGGAAGCTCATTCATAGGAAGTGAGATGCTGTCAGCAGGAGCATCTGTTCATCCTCCCAATACTTTATTGTGCACTCAGGATTTATAGCAGCATATTTGAATGCTGTTTCTGTGCATTCATAGATTTCATTTTGATAACTGGAGTACGCCAGCTGCAGCAAAGAGCCATGGAGAAGTGGAAAATTTGGAAGGAGCTCAGCCTGGGGGAGATGAGCAGGTTGTTCCTGTGCAAGGAACAGAACGTGTTACTGCATCATCTGCCCGGACAGAGAAGACTTTCTCTTCAGCTGTCTTAGCAGCTGTAGCAACAAGAACACTTGTACAGAGGTTTGTATGGAGGCTGAATGTGGAACATATGATGGATGAACTTTATAATAATTCTTTTGAGGAACATTCTGTGCTGTGTCTAGGTGTGGGGAGTTACCACTAGATTTGGAAGACTGAAAGTCAATTTCCCCCCCACCCTGATTGATATGAATGTTTTTTCCCTCCATTCTTTAGATATTCAACTTCCATATCACCACCATCACCTTGTCCTGTGAAATATCAAGAAATAGAAGATGAATGTGAATTTTTAATTGATGAGTCAGGTGATGCATCTTTTACTTCTTGGTTTTCAATACCTACTAAGAAAAAAAAATCAAAAAATGATGGCTCTGCAGCTCCCATTTCTAAACCTCAGCCCTCTGAAAAGGAAAAGACACGGAATAAGAAAGTCAAGAACAGAAAAGAACAGGTTAAAGCACTTAGTAAACAGGAAGAGGATCATCTGGATGTTGGAGCTTTTGACTTCAAAGAAACGTCAGTGTCAGATCCAATCTCTAATAGTGAAGAAAGTGTCCTTAAATCTCAAAGTCGAAAGAGTTCTTGTGTGGGTAAGTTAACAGCTCTTCAGACTTTTCCTTACAGGTCACATCACTGGATTATTTTCTGGTGTTTTATAAGAAAATTATAATAAAGTAGATGATAGACATCAATAGATTCCTTTTTTGGTGTTTCAGTTGCGCAGCTAGATTTGGGTGAGACAGAAAGGCAGTGAGACAGTGTCTTCACTTTTTTCACCACATCCTTTGCCTTTCCTGTTAGATCATTAACAATTAAATTAGCAGTGTTGCCTTTTTGTATGAAGAGTCATAGCAAGTAGGTACCCAACAAGCTTTTGTTCCTCTCGCCATAGAAAGGCAGTTATTTGGACAGAAAGGGGATTGATTTTTAGGAGTTATTTGTGAAGGGTTTTGTAGCATGAAACACTGAAAACTGGAAAGCAGACTGAATGTAACATTTCTGCCCCTTTTTTTATTAGGAAATACTGGAAGTACACCAAAAAGTTTATTGTAGACTATACTTTAATGAAAGCCTTCTTTTAGCCAGTGGTGATAAAACTGGTTTTGTGATACCTCTTTTTTTTATTATTTTTTCCCCATTTTGATTCTTTGGGGGTTTTTTTGTGCATTCAGATGTCAACATAGATCTTCAGGTTTAATGGGAAAAGGTATCAATGTCCAAATATTTTGTGTATTGACAGGAAAGACTAAAAAGGATGCACTTAGACAAGACTCTCCAAACCAGAAAAAGAACACATCATGGAAACCAGAAGCTGAAGAACTGATATTGTCATGGGCTGGATTGGAAGCGGAACCATCTGATGAGGAGCAGTGTGAAACAAGGATGCCAAGTGAGGATTTGCCTATGCCCTCATCTGGGCATCAGAAAGAGCAGACTGTGTCACTGAAGAAGTCTCTCAGGTCTGCCAAGAATCTGCGGTTGGCTTCTAAAGCTTCTAAACATTTAGTTAAGAAGAAACAAACTGCTAATCAGAAACTTCCAAATGTCAAAGTAGCTAAGAGAGGGACAGTAACTCCAAGGAAAAAGCTTAAAATATCTGTCCAGAAAAGTAGTAATAAAAAACCTCAGTTACAAAAAGAGGAGAGTTCTGACAGTGAATCTGGTGAAGAAGAGCTTGAAAGGGAGCCTTTGGAACAGAATGAAGTGTGTACCACATCTTTGCATGAGAAGGACACTCCTGTGATTCAGAAGTTGTCTAACGCTGAAAAGCCTAGAAATGTGTTACACACACCAGAGTCACCTGGTGGTGCCAAGAACAGAACTCCTCTAAAAGCACTCCAGCATCCTGTGGAGAGTGTGAAGAATCATGGAAAGAAATGGTCTGCCAAGTCTTTAGGGAAGATAACCAAAAAGACTCCACACAGAACCAATAAAGCTCTTTGCTCAAGCCCTGAAAGCCCTGAGTCTCAAACAGATTCTGACAGCTCTTCTGTACAGGACGTGGCAAGGAAAAAAGAGATGTTACCAGATGTGAAAATAAAAAGTAACAAAAGAAAACATAACAGGTAGCATGGATCACAGTAAGCCTTTTGTGTGATTATTTACAAATGTGGTGTATAACTTGGTAGATAATCAAATGTATCTTGTCAGCTTTTAAGCAGTGATGGCCCAGTTCAGGTATGTGGTAGTTTGAGGCTGGTTGAATAGTTAAGAGTAACCAAGCAGTTTAATCAACATGCTTTTCTCAAAGCTGGTGCCATACTGTGTCTACTACATGAGGAAACTTGTTCTAGTTAAAGTCTTCTTGTGAGACTTGCAGAGCAGATCTAGTTTAACACAACCCCACCATCCATGGAAAAACTTCACTGTCAAGTTTGTTCCTTTTTAAAAATAAATTTAGAAAATACAGCATTTAATTCTTCAGCTATATATTTTTTGTCAGTCTAAAGACTAAGTTCAAGTGGTATAAAACCTAGTTTATAATCATTGGTCTTTGCACTGCTTTTTAATTTTTTTAAATGTCTTTTTTATAGTTTTCTTCATGACATAAAATTATTGACCTACAGGTTCCTTTAATTAAGTTTACTTAACACCAAATATAATAAGAATATTGTTTTCTTTTCTAGGGATTCCTTTGAGAAGGTTGAGAATTGCGCAAGGTAATTTCCCAAGTTGTCTGAAAAACGTTACTTTAATCCTGCTTCTGCCCCACAGAGTCCCCCTGAGACTGGGGTGCAGCTGCTGTGTTCTGTGCCCTACTGGTGAAACACTGAGTAGGACAGGACTGTGATTCCTGCTTGAGGGCTTTAAATACTGTGCTAATACACTTAATAAAGTAATACAATTTTTCTTCCTGTCATGAATAGGGGGTCATAATAAGCTTCTTGCCTTTGGGGATTTCTTTCCTTTGAGGCTTGCTTCCACATTAGTGTGTAATTTTTGTACAGAAAGATCAGTGCTCCTAGAACTAATGACAGCTGCACTAATAAAATTGATGTCAAGTAGGGTATAGAACTCTATCTACAGTCCAAACTCTTTGTGCATGTACATAGGCATGTATCTTCCCCTTTCATGAGAGGGAAAGTTAATCACAAAGCAAACAGGAGTGGCAGTCTGTCAATTTATAAATTCTTATGCAGTCATTGTACTGAAGATGTTGGGGGCTGTATTTCTAAGGGGAACCTACTACAGACTGACTTGGACAAATTTGCAGTGTAGATTTGCTAACCTAGGTAATTTAGATGCACCTTTTGGAGTTGGGGTGGATAACAGCTGGACTTCACTGGCACAGTAAAAGCAGTGAAGCACAGCCTCAAATGGGGGAAGAAGGAAGGTCAAGGGTGCTGATTCTAAGTCTGTAGGAGAAGTTCTGTTACAAGTGGCTTGATTGTTGGAGTTATATGTGTAAACTGTTGCCATTTTATGGGGGAGGTTTCATGACATACTCCATATTATTTTACTGTCCTTTCCTTAGAGTATGCAAAACAACTCTTTAAAGCACTTTTATAATTATGGTATATGGAAAATTGTATGGTAATGCTACAGAGTGGGGGGAGAAGGTCTGTTCTGGAATGGATAAAAAAGAAAAAGTTTAGGAAACCTCTTTAGGGAGGAGGTGTGAACACTAATTGTCTGCCTGATGACCAAGTAGGGGAGTAGTTCATGTACTTCGATTTCTAGGGAGGAGTCATTTGCTTCAGTGTCTAATTGGTATAGATTTGTTTAAAAGCAAAATAGAACCCAGCCCACATGATCTAAAAAAACTTAAATTCACTATTCTTGGTAGTGCTGTAATGTTCCTTTGACATGTTCAAGCAGGTGTATTTTTTTTCCTTTGCAGTGGGCCTGTTCTAGAAGATAGACTTACTTCCAGCACTAAATCTCCTGAGCTGGACGATGTATCTTCAGGTATTGTTTGAACTTTGTAGTTCATTGCATTTTATGTATAAGCTTCTTATAAACTGTGACTGACAGCTCAGTAATTTCTGTTGTATTCAGCTTGTGCAGGAGAAGAAATGCAGAGTTTATTGGCTGTGGTTACATTTCTGTCCAAGTGTATGGTACAGCATGCCAGCTTTATGTGGTTAGCTTTGGGAGGACACAGCCCTCCATGTTTTGGCCTCATGCATACCAGGATAAAGTTATTCTTTATAAAATACTTTGAACAACATTTTCAGGCATAGTTTGTACCAGTTTGATGCTATGTGATGGTCCCATATGCAGTCACTTCAGGTAAACCTGAGCCAAATTACAGCACTGATGGGGTCATGGCCTGTTCCCCAAAGAATACTTTGGTTTGGTGTTTTTTGGGGGGTGGAGTTGGTTTTTTTTTGTTGTTTGTTTGTTTGTTTTTGGTGGTTTTTTTTGTTTTGTTCGTTTGTTTTGTTTGTTTTTGTTTTTTGGGTTTTTTGGGGGGTTGTTTTGTTTTGTTTGTTTGGTTTTGGTTTTTTTTGGGGGGGGTTGTTTGCTTCGTTGTGTTAGGGGTTTTTTTGTTTGTTGTTTGGTTTTATGTTTGGGGGCTTTTGTGTGGGGAGGGTTATTATTATTTGTTTTGTTTCAGTTTTAAATTTCACTGCACAAGTTTCACATGTTGTCATAATGAACATGAGCCCTGGAGATACGAAGTCTTTTCGTTTGTGCTTCAGAGCCAGATGTGAATGTTATTAGTCCACGCAATGCTTTTTTTAGATACCTAGTTTTGTGTATGTTCTGGCAAAAAATTTGTTCTGAAGTTAGATTTCAGTGGTATAAATCTGAATGACCTTGCACTTTGATCAATAATATTATGTGTATAGTTTATAATTTGTCAGTGTTCACTTTATCAAGAAGGATAGGTCTGAGGAGTATTTACTTGAATGTATAGTTTTCAAGTAATTTTTAATTTTACTCTGTTTAAAGCTAATTACAGATACTGTTTATGTACACTGGATTTCATATATGTTTATAGCAAGAGGTATTGGTGGAAGCACTGTCCTTGGGACTTCTGTTTGTGTTACTTTTGGTTGCTTCTAGTCGGCATATTGAATAAAAGTCAGGAATAATAAATGCCTTTGGTGATGGGATTTTTGAATGTGTTTTCAGATAATTCTGAAGACTTGAATTGCAAATTAAGACACCTGTTGTCAGATGAAACAGCAAAGCATAAAATAGGTAAGAGTATTTTAAAATGTCATAAGTGTCTAAATGCAAATGCATTTTCAACTGGATGTAAATGTTGCTGAAGGACACACAGACAAACACCTTGAAATGGGTTCATTTCTTCATAAGCATTTACAGATAGGGTTTGTTACTTCTTCAGGCCTTCAGCCCATCTCTTAATTTGAAAATTACTTTTTAAAACTTCTAGTGTTTCTTTTTTTGTTGCTCCATTCAACAATTATCTTTTTAACTGCCACACTTCCGTTTTTCATGGTATTGTGTTAAGGAAACCTTCAGATCTGACCATCCTGGTGCCACTCTGGCAGTCACACTCCCAGCACCACACACTTAAAGTCCTGGGACTGAGACCCCTTTACAGTGGGTGGCTCTGGTGCCCTGACGGGTGCCCCATTTGACACTCTACACAGCCAGACAAGGTTTCCTTGCTGGTTTGACTCTGAGTTTCTCATAGCAGAGTCTCAGACCTCTGGTTCCTTCAAGTAATTTTATGGTGTAGAAACAGAATAACAGCTTAAACTGGAACAAAGGACTATCTGGGCTTTTGTACCCCTGAATGTATTCCTAAAAAACTGAGTCAGGACAAACTCTTACTGTACAGTGAGAGCAGTAAGAGTTTGAATTGGTTTTATGCAGTAAAATTGAGGGTGCAAATAACCTGCCTTCTGTGGTGGTCTGAGTCTGGATAGGATGGAACAATGGGCAGGTAGTCAGTTGTAGTCCCACTCTTGTCTGTTTTACATTGTTGGTGCTTTTTATTGGCTTCATTATTACTTTATGCACAACACTTTAGTTGTCTACCTTCAAAAACTGTTTCAGCAACTGTTTCGTATTTACCATTTTTAACATTTAAATATTCTTGATTAATTTGCTTTGAGATCTTAAAGGGCTTTTACTCTTCTTAAAATATGATACTGTATTCATATATGGCAGCTTACACAACTTGAAAGTTGAGACTGTGAACAGTCTTCAGCATTTATCTGAGAAATCCTGGAAATGTGTGGAGTTTCTTTTCACAAAAGTGTTGCTCTTTTGGACCCTGGAAACAGGACTTCTGAATCTGGAAGAGAAGGATGTACTTAGGCAGTCTGTTACCCTCCCCTTCCCATAACTGAGGCAGTGCCTTTTCATAGTTACTGGTGAAATCCCCCAGATTCAGACAGGATTCTTAGTCTTTAGCATGTTTGCTGTCCTTGAGCTCCTAATGTATGTGTATCAGTGGGTCACTAAGATATATAGAAGGAAATCTAATGTTAAGTCAGGGTAGTGATTGTTGAAGAAAAAGGAGGGTGAAATACTGATTTATGCAAAAGAAGGCATTTGGTGATACTTGAATTCTGTTTTCTTGTGATAGCAATGTGATAAAAATATTGGCTGGGAAGGGCTGACCCACTTGTGGTACAGAACAAGAAAGAATACTTATTATTTTTTGTCTCTGAATTTTTCTTTCATACTTAATGACTTCATCCTTCAAATCAGTTATGCCTTCCAACACACCTAATGTTCGTCGGACAAAAAGGATACGGATGAAACCTCTGGAATACTGGAGAGGCGAGCGCACAAACTATTCTATGGAGCCTTCAGGTATTAGTTCCAAAATACCAATATTTGCTTCCTTCTGATAAAGCACAAAAGAAAAATCCGAGTTGATCTCGTGCTGTGCAAGCCTTGAGATGCTTACTATTGGGTAACTTTAAAAAAAGATTATTTGTGGTCTCCAGTTACTTAGTCATCTCTCCATGTAGTTTTCTGCTCTTCTGACACTCCTGTGTCACCTGAAAATAATATCAGCAGAGCACCTTAAGTACTTTTACCTTCACTGTTGAGGGAAGAACAGAACAGTTTCTCTGTATTAGTGGGTTTTTTATGTCAGAGATTGCATATGATACTGGAAAAAGAAACAATCTACTGGATCAATCATTGGAGCATTTCTTTTTGTGTGAGGATTCTTTTTGAGAGCAGATATTATAACATTTTATAGTCTCCGTGTAAAATACCCTAAGTGAGAAATAGAACTTGTTCTCAGGATTTTTTTACTGATAATTCATCCTAGTTTAGTCCTTTCCTAATTAATTAGTTCACTCAAAAATAGTATTTTTTGTGTCCATAAAAGTGATATTTTGTCTTAAAAAATTATTTGCACGTCATGGCTTTCTGAAATGTTCTTTGACTGAAATTTGATCAACTCATTTTCAAAATGTCTCAAGTTGCATTGCACTTCCAAAGTACTTAATGTTGAAAAGTTTTTTGTTTGTTCTGGCTTTCTGAAGTGATCTGAAAAGTTCAGCATCACGGAAGTCTATTCTCAATTGAAATGCTGGCTAGTTGTGCAAGTTTGCATTTTTTTAGATTTACTATGAGTTAGTGGACTTTGTTTAACTTCCTTTTGTTTCAGGAGGGCTTGTGATGAGTGGACTAGTGCATCCAGTAACAGAATCTCCTAGGAAGAGTAAAAGGAGGAAGGATTGTCCGAAGCAGAAAACAGATAAAACAAGTAGGAACAAAGACTTATTTCATTTGGATACTTTAAAAAGTCTCTTTAATCAAATGCTCTACTGCTCTAACATTTTTCTCCTGTAAACACTCAGTTGTCTCTCTGGGTGAAAATAATTTTATACCATAATTTATTAATATGATCTGATGAGGAAAAACCTGCTCCTACTGGATCTATTGCAATGCTGTACATTGTTGTAGTAAAATTGTTCACTTTTCAGCGTAAGAAAGGAAGAAATGCTAGACATACCCAGAAGTGCTGCTGTGCCTTTAAAGCAGGGGCTGAAGAGACTAAACTGTATTCATTTTATGTTCAGATCATGATGCTAGTCTGCACGGTTAAGGTATAAAAACTTGTAGCCATTTTACTGATGCCTGTCATACATCTAAAAATGCAGCAGAGAGTGTTAGTGGGGCTTCAGGCTGTTGTAGTTTAAATATAAAATCACAACATGGTAGGTGAAGAGAGAAAGCTTTAAGAACAGTGCATAAAATGGTTAAAAGTGGGCAATAAATCTATTTTTAAGCAAACAGAGTCTCTCTGGCCAGTATATAATAAATATATAAGTAGTGCTCAGAAAAGAGAGTCAAAGTCCAAAAGCCAAATTATTTTTGCCACGCTCTCTGGAAGATGTTGTAATGCTAAAGAGCCATTCTTTATGGGAACTGTCTACAACTTTTGCTTGAAGCTGAAACATTTCTCTGTCAAGTTATAGAACTATTAAAACATGTGCTAACAAACATGGAAAATGCTGTATGGTTCTAGTAGTAAACTAATCAGGACTGACATAATCATCAGAGAAATAAGGAAGAAAACAATCACTGTTAGTACCAATTTCTGATTTTATATGTGTTTCATTTAGGTTTTATTCCTTACCTCGAAAAGAAAGTAGTAGGACTAGAGGAGGTTTAGGGAAAGCCTAGAAGGACTTCTGTAGTGAATTCTCCTCAGCCCTGAAGAAAGTACTATGGAGGCCTGTATGGAAGAGGTCTAAAAACACCTCTGAAATCATGGGTGACATGGAGAAGGGAAATAGAAGTAAATGGTCTTGTTGGGGTTTTCTTCTTGATTTTTTAAACACAAGAACTAGAAGGTGTGGAAGGAAGACAATGAGAACTGTGTTATTCAGCAAAATAAGGTGGCCATTCTCACTGTGTACTTCCTGCCCAGAATATTGTGTGTGAAAATATTTATGTAGTTTCAAGGCAAGGACCAGATACATTAATAGGAGTGTTAGTAGCTTTAAATAAAGTGTGGGGGCTCCAGGTAAGAGGTGGAAAGTTGGAAAGTATTCCATTGAATATATTATATTGAGTATATTATGGCATTTTGAGGAATGGAAGGAGTATCTGCTTTGGGCCACTGATAGGAGACAGGACCCTGGTATAGATCAATATTTGATCCAAGCACAGTTTATATTGTAATATAATCACTTGCAGCCCATGAGAACCTGAGCTGGTAGTGACTGTTCATACTGTATCTTACAAGAACTATTGGTTGCTTCAAGTGCCTTTGAACTGTCTTCCAGAAGTGATTGATTTCCTCTGTGACAGACATTCATCCTCAGAAATAGTCTTTCACTCACATCCTTGAGTCTTAGTGATGCATGTAAGGCCTGTCAGCCAAGTAAAATTTCTAGCACAAATTCTTAAATGTTATTGATACAATAAAAATTCTGGTTTTATAGCTATAGAGTTGTACTTGTTGCTGCTTCTTTTTATAGAGAGATGGTTATGTTGGAACAAAGCTGTTCAAACACAGTAACTTTCTTCCTCCCCCTGATTGTCTTACTGTAAGAGTATTTAAGCTGCCATGAGTGCCTACAAAGTGCTATAGCTTGCCTTTAGCATGCTTCTTCTGTCTCTGTTTAAAGAAATTTCCTGTGCACTGTAGAGCTAAAATTGTCTGCTTAAGAGAATTCTGCAGGAGAGCTTTGGGGTATTTATTCTGCCGTGAACATTCTAAAGCATCTCTTTTCTGTTTGAAAAGCATAGTGTTGTCATCAATTCTTAGGATATTTCGTTCTCTGGAAAAGTCCTTTTTATTATAGCAATAGTTCTCAGATTTACAACTCAGAGTGAGATTCCTGTAATGTTATTTCTTGAGAAAAGGAAAATTGGACATGTGCTTATCTTTGAACACTTTCTCTCTTAAGTCCCCTGATGTCTATCAACAATAGGTTGAGCAAAACCACCTGTTCTTCACATTTCATCATGTATTTCATAGTCTCTCGGCATCTGTTGCTAGAAAAACACTTCTCTCAAAACACAGAGTTTAGTTTTGAATAAATACTGTTTTTAATAGCATAGGATAAATAGTTGGCATTTCCCCAGGAAATTCCTTAGGATTTCGAGAGTGTTCATTTATACACAGAAATTATTTCAATGAAAAAGACATTTTCAAAGAATTGTTATGGATGGTTTTCTTTATTTGAAGGAAGAGTATTCAGTCTATTTAGTCACTTATTAAAGGAAATTCAAGTATTTAATGAGTGACATCAGAATTATGGAAAAGTTGTGGTTCAGTTATTAACTTTTTGAAATCTATATTCATTACTTTTTTGGTCTTTTTTTGTTTTCTTTGTCTCCTCAGATAGAGAAGAGATACCTGTAAATTTGGACCACAGCCTAGGTGATGCATCTAAGCCAGCCGTTGTACTGGACCCAGTAACAAATAATGAAGTGCATCTAGGTGAGTTGAATGGATGTGACCAAGGGACTTCCTGTATTGTGTAGACTTCTGATAAAAAAAAATGTTCATGCCACATTGGGCATAAAAAAATACTCATTTCTCTTCTGGAGAAAGTTCTGAGGGAGACATAAGAAGTGTCCTAATTTTTCAGCTGAATGTTGAGTCTAGCTTTTGGAGGTGTTGCACTGAAACAATATGTATTGCACTGAGCGTGTAACAGGACTAATTATGTGGTAGCATTAATGTTAATCTCCTGGATATTTTTTGTAGATTGTATAAACACTGCAGACAGTCGCACTTACTTCTTCAAAGATGAAGCAGTAGAAATACAAAAAAGTTTGAATACATCTCTTTTTGCAACTGGTAGATTGATTCTGAAGCCATATAAAGAAAAGGGGCACCAATTTGTCGACATGGATACAATAGTAAGTGTGCTTTTAAAAAATTTGTATGGAATGGACTTTGTAAACAGAAGATCTGTTGGGGTGGTTGGAAATAACATATGAAGTTGAGAGGTACTCCCTGCCCCCCAAAACAAATGAACATTAATTAACTGTTTGCTGAAGGTTCTTTGCATGCACATTGCCCTGCTTTGCTCTGTATTAAATCTGTATGTCCATGTGCTCCTACTTTGTGAATCTTGCAGACAAGATAGAAATCACAGAAAAATAAAACTGGATGGACCCCATCCCCCTTTTGAGTTGTGCATCTTAGTTTTCATCAGTATGGGGAAAAGAGATTGCAGCTCTGCTGGCTGATTTGGGTTTTTATCTTTGTTATGTGTGTGCAAGTGTTTTGTTGGATATCTTCCTTAAATGGTGCTAACCTTAGAACCCTTTGGCTTCCATTAAGGCTTTCCATATTATCCATGGCAAAGTTATAGTGACATTACATAACACATCGTATTACCTGACTGCAGGGGACTGCTTCTATGTTCCAGCAGGTGAGTGTGTGTGTGTCTGAAACCCATTTGTTGGGAGGTGCAGGAGACTAAATCAGCGTGCTAGGAATCAAAATCAGAGTGACTGAATAGAGAATGGGACAGTACAGGGTGAGGAAGAATGGAATGGGACACAACACTGGACACGGGTTAATGATCTAATGGTTGAATGCAGGGATACACATACCTCTTGTTTATGTGAGTTGGCCTCAAAGTTTTGATGACACTACCAAGTTCTAGGAGTAAATTTCCCTTGGGATTCTGGTTCTGTCACTAGCTGTAATGTTGAGGAAACATCACAGACAGCCTAATGCTACTAGTAATTAATATAATTGTTTCTGTCACCATATGCTTGCTGATTTTTTCCTATGTAAAATTGTGAAAATCCATTTGGATCAGTTCACCATATTTTGTGCTTTGTGCTTGTATATAGAAGGTTCAAACTATCTTGTTGAATAGGTTGTAACTTCATATGTTTTCTTGAGAATTTAAAGACCTGATTTTGTATATTCTGATATAAAAGTGGCATGAATTCCATATGGGAGGCTGTTCATCAGTGGGTTAAGACACTAATCTGGAGATTTCATAGTAGTGTTAAGGCAGGCTGTTCATGAAGCTGTAGAGAGCTTTTGTACAGCTTTCTTATGAAGAGGCTTATCTTTAGAAAATGAAGAATTAGCCCATTTTTTCCCTGTTAACTTTTCAGCACAGTGTCCTGACTGAACAATCATTGCTCAGTTAATGCTTGATGCTTTGAAGCTGTTTCCATGTGCAGTTTTTATTGATAGTTTCTGTAGGAATAAAGTAAATTCAGTCACCTTAAAGTTTTGTTGTGGGTTTTGAGAGCTGAGAGCTCATGCCTGTAACATTCTTCTCAGTAAAAATCTTCTAAGCATAGATGAAAGTAAATTACATTAGGTGTATTCCTTGTCATCTCTTTGAAATGCACTGACCTGCCTGTAAGAGTGGCATCCTAGATTAAGAGCTAATATTCCTTCTGTTACAATATATAAAATGGAACTATATTTGGCTGAAGACAGGAGAGGACTTCAAAAATTGCCAGTGGATGCTAAGGAAAACTTACTCTGTTTTTCTTTGTAGGAAATGGATATAACATACGTAATCTTCTGAATGAAGAAAGTGTTCTTCTCTTCACACAACTCAAAGACAGGTGAAGAACTTTCCGCAAAGAAGTTTGCTTAAACACTTGTCAAATTTTTGTATGTTCTGAAGTCCTTTTTATATAGAAAAATGTTTGAGCAGGCCCACCCTAACATTACAAATGAATACAGAGCAGCTGAAATCAAGATAAGAAGAGCTGAGGGAAAAAACTCAGAAGAATGTTGGTAGTTTGTTGTCAAACTGAAATGACATACTGAAGGGCCTTGCTCTGCATCGCTTACTCTTCTTGTGCCATCCAGTGACAGAAAGATATAAGTATGAAATGTGTGGGTTTATTTGTTGTTCCAAATTGTATCAATATGCTTAATCTCCCTAAAGATGCTTAGCACTTGAAAAAACGTTGGCACCCTCAGCCAACATCTGATAGATAGTCTTAACGACTGCCTGGTACAACCTGCTTAGAATAATCTCTGTTTAAATGACAAACCTGCTGTTTGCATTCCAGTAATTGTTGTCTAGGAGATGGGCTGCTGCAAGGCTGCTGTGCTGGGGTCCAGCTGCCTCCTCATATGTTAACGACAGGCAACCCTTTCTTGTCTGGCAGCTGGATGATTAGTGCCTCCAATCTGAATAGGAAAATAGGAGCTCTTAAGTAGGAGCTTATCAGTTGTGTCTTTTGTGTGGAAGCTATGGCCTGATTAGCTCTGAACATTGTTGATAGCTTTATTTTGTGTAACAGTGATAGGTCATTGCCAAATGTATTACTTTAATATCTCCTTTTGATTTGCTTGCTGTGTTCCTGGATAATAATGAGGACCTTTGGGAAAGCTGTAATTATACCGTATACTCCAGAAGCCAAGTCTAGACAGCAGATGGTATACATAGCATTTGTCTCCCAAGCTCTTCGAGGTTCCTTCTGGCTGAAGATAAGGATAAACTACAGCTATTCTCATATGCTGCTTTCTCTCTCTGGTCACTGCTATCCTTGAGGAGAAGGAGATAAGGAAAATTGAATTGGAATCGTGAACTCTTAAGGACTTGAGGATTGAGCACTAACCTTGTAACCAGTCTTGGCCATGATCTTTATGCTAAATCTAGAGTATACATTAAAGTAGGAAAGAGGAATTGCCTTTCAGCTGTCAGCTAATTTCCTGTGTCTGTGAAAGGTCTTGGACATCAAGATTTCCATGCCTCTGTGTAAGATCCTTTGGATTGGAGAATTTGAGCTAATACTTTCTGTCATTCTCTTTCAAGCAGTAGTTCCTGTGGTTAGTGCTTATATAGACTGACAGTGGAAATACTGGGTAGAAGTTGTGTGCTGTCTTTTCATTCATAGCTAAGGCACATGTAACTCTGAGAAGATGAAACAGGAACATGCCTATTGCTATTTAGTTCTGTCTTGAAACAAACTGTTTACTGTCAGAGTTCAGACTATACAGAAAGTCCTTTTCTTTTCCAGCCTCAACTTTTGTAAGTAGTTTAAGAGTTAAAAAAGAAAAAAAATAATTTATATCACTAGCTATACATTTGATGTTGGCAGCTCTTCTAAATTTTGGGCTTGGGTTGGTCTCTTCAAGGTCAGCAAGATTCAAATAATGTCCTTCCTGTGCTGGAGCCAAACCAGCTACCAGATGGGCACACATGCTGTCTCACTGCTTGAGGGGATCCCACCCACTAAAACGTTTAGTTTTTAAGTCTTTCAGCTCCTCAGGCCTACAGAGATCTGGAACTTTGCCACTTGGAAAAAGTACAGGGCTAGGATTAAACCTAAGACTGTGCTTCTAACCGAAGCAGGTCTCTCAGCAGTCAGGCCATGGATGTGATGGTCTCTGATCCCAGCAGCAAATTGGTTCCAGTTAAAGATGAGAAGAAGAAAACTTTCCAGTTGTGTTAATAGCCAGGGAGTTCTGAATAAAAATGCCCTGCAGATTCTTTTCTGTGTTGCTTGTCTGTAGATTGAGTAGCAGAAGGGTGGTTACTTAAGGGGTTAGTGTAGGTAACTTAGGTGTATGGACTACAGGGCTCATGGTCCTGAAGGAGTGTGTGGGTGGATGCTGTGGCAGAACTCAGCAGGCTGTTGTTTGCCATGGATGTGTTTCATTTGGTGGGCTGGGATGAGAAGTGATGACAGTGTCATTGCATCAGGCACAGATGTGTCTTTGCCCCCTGCAACTTGGCAACAAGATCGTGAGGGGGTTTTCTTCTGAATCAAAAGAAAGAAGTTCTTCAGGATGCTTTCTAAAGCAGATTTAATGTGTGCAGACATTTTCCTGACATGGGCTGGAAAGTGCAGATGTTCAAATGCAGATTTCAGGTCAGCATGCCTGTTGGTGTTTTCCTAATTCTGTGGCTGGGAGTTTCAAGGAGAACAGGGCAGATTTGGTAGAGTATGTCACTTCTTAGGCTGGATGGCTTTGTTGCTCTCTGGCTGGTTGGTTTCTCGAGAGAAATGTCCTGTGTAGTTTGCAGAGAACATTTTGTAGCTGGACTACATCTGAATATGTTTGTGGTTTGCTTTTTGTAAGAAGCAATGTCAGGTTCATTAAGGGATGTTTTCTGGAATATTGCTCTGGTTTAGCAACAATTCTATTTTTTGTCAGTAGATGGGGCTTCAAGCACAGCTCTTAGTCCTTCGCTGGCCTCTGTGCTCATTAGGGTCTGGTTTTTGAAAAGCAGGAAGAACAGTGTGTTACAGGTGGCGATAAATTTAGTTGAATTCTCTTGCAAGGAGATGTACATCAGCTGCCATTCACAGTAAGACTTAACTACTGAAGGTTGCTACTTGTTGCAGCTACTTGCACAAATTGTTCTTTAAAACATTAGTACACAGCAGGACCTGGGTTGTTCGCCGTTGATCTGGATTGCGTTTCAAATTTTTTTCTTCAACTTGGCACTTGTTAGAAATTTGCTGCTGTGTCATTAGCCTAAATATAGTGTGAGGAGGTGCAGGAGAATCTTCTGATTGCCAGGACTCCCATGGCTGCTGAGTTCTACAGTGTGTCAATCAATAATCAGTTGCTAGTCAGAAGCAGCAGCTGATGTTTCACCTCTGCCTGGTCTTGTTTTGGTTCCTGCTTCCTACATTTTTGTGTACAGCAGGCCAAATAGAATATTGCAAAGAAATAAGCCTTTTTTGAAATGTGAGAAGTTAGTGTTCTACCTGCATACCTGGGATTCTTTTTGCCAGCCTATTTTCTGCTCTGCTGAGTTACCTCACTTCCACTGGCTACTGTGGTTTAGCCAGGTGTTTGTGGAGCAAGGCTGAAGTTGATTAACCAGTGTTACCTGTTGTGAAGTTGGGATCTTTGTCTTGAAAAAGACAAAATGTGGGATACACTTACTGTTCCTGGAGGATGCATACTGATATCCTAGTGGCTATCCCTGTTTTTCAGTATTTTAATTCATTGCTTTCTATCAGCAGTAATTGAGAGAGCTGGAAACAAAAGCTTTATGTTAATAGGTTCATGCATTCTATAGCAGGTACTATGGTAACATCCAGGGGCTTCTTTTAAGAGGCTTAACTGAGAAGTCATATCATAATAAAAAGCCACAGCTTTGAAGGCTGTGGCTCCCTTCAAAAAGATTACTGGTTAGTAGGCTCTTTTGCAAATCCATCTTTTTGTAGTTTCATTTAGTTAGAAAGCTCTTCCTGTTTTACTAAACAAAGCTTTTTGAAGCTTAAATTAGCAGAAGAGTGATTGCAGAACAGTCAGATGTGTATGCACATCCATATTTGTACAGCTCTGTAAACCTAAAATAGGAGATTGTAAGCTGAGTAATTACAGACAAAATAAACAGGACCAATAAAACAAACTTGAGGCACATGTACAGCTTCTTCTATTTTGCGAGTGCACAACTAAATTGGTTATCTGCAGATGATTTTAAATTAACGTTTGGGGAATGCAATAAACCTAAAGAGCTATTTCCTCATTTCATAACAGTTGAAAAGGCATTTCAGCATGAAGGAATATTTCTTGTATTTCTACTGCTGTATAGACTCTGCATGATGTCTTTTGTAATACAGAATTTACTTTAAGTGGTGATTGATTGCAGGTGATCCATCTAACTGAAGAGCATGGGCCATGCCTCTTTTAATGTATTGACAGCTGTTGTAACTGAACATTTCCTTGTCAGAATCCTGTCACTTCACAGATGTTCACAAATACAGTGAGATGAGATCTCAAAGGCAAACTTTTCGGGTTGCATGGATGAGCTTTAGTTAGGATTTGACAACCAAAGTGAGTCCTATGGTCCAGTTCTAAGATGAAAACATGGTTGATTGTCAGTCAGAACAGTGGGCTGCAGATTATTAGAAACAAATCTGTTAAAAGGTTTGTCTGCAGAGCTGTTCTGTGTTTTTAAGCCCACTCATAAAGCTCCTGTTCTGATCTGCTTCATATGAGCTTCTGTCCCCTAGTAAAGGTACAACACCAAGGGTTGTAAAACCACAGGTACTTTGCACTCCTGCAGTACTGTTTGGAGCACAAGAGCAGCAGTGATTGAAACAAGGAGCTGGAAGAAACAAAGTGTTTACTTTGTCAGCTTGACTGTTGAGATGCAAGTCTAAAAGTGTTGACAGAAATAATTATTAATGTCTAGAATAAGATTTTTTTATTTCTCTTTTCAGCTTGGTAGGTAAGGACTTTTAAATTTGAAAATTGAAGAATTCCAGTACTCTTGACAAATATTTAGGAAGTTTATTAAATGGATATGGTAGCTGTTAACACACATTATTTCATTTAGCTTATTACATTTTTTCACTGTGATGGTGTTTAAAGATGCCTTTTCCTGTGTTTTCAGTAACAGTATCTGAAATGAGAATTGATCAAGATGGCAGATGCATTGTAACGCTGTAAGGGTGTCTTCTGGAGTCCATGTGCTGTAAAAAGAGGGAGGGGAAGGGAGTGATGAGAGGTGTGAATGTAATGAAGAACCCTATGGTAGTGCTCAAAGACTGACTGGTCTAGATTATGCAAAGCATTTTCAGTGACGCTCAATAGCTTTGAAAAGATTGATATGGAAAAGGTTTTCTGGTGTTGGTGCCACAAAGACACAGCTGTCTCTGCTGGTAACCCACACTCCTGGTTTGGGATTCTAGTAGTGATCTGATCACCTGCATTTAAGAACATTATGTCATCTTATCTAAAACTACAGGGTTCAGCTAATGAGCATGATGTATAAACCACCTAAGAAGAGGTCTGAAATTAATGAATTTTACCCTTTGTTTATGTTAGCGACACTTTTGTGTTGTAGTACACTGGGGGTAATTACAAGAATTGAAAGTTAATTACAAAAAAGTTTTTTTCAAACACTATCTGGACTTGAAATTTTATTGCTGACAAAGAGGGGGCTCCCCTAGGATGCAGTAGCCTATTCAGTGAAGAAACTGAGCACTTCTCCTATATTTCAGTTAGTGCCAAGTGAGCTCTGAGGCTAATTAATCAAAACAAATTCACAATTAAGCCCAGGAAGGAAGACTAATTAAGTAGACAGTTAAGAAAAGTGCTGAAGAAGGGAGCAACCTTAAGGGGAAAGTATGAGACTCCCTGAACTGGCCCATGAAGGACAATTAAGTGATAATTGCAGAGGCCTTTTTGCATCTAGCAAATGCTGTCTGCCTTTTATTATGGCTGATTTTCTTAGTAGAAGCAGACATTTGCCTGATGAGCAGCTAAGCTCTACCATGCACTTTTAAGGTAATTCACAGGTAAAGCAGAGAGGTTGCTACAGCTATAAATTAGAACTCAGCTCCCAGACTTGGACAGTATTTTAGATAGTGAAGAAGCCCCGCTGAATTTTAAAGACAAACATAATGTTTACTTTATTTCCCTCTTCATTTTGTGGCATACCAAGTCCATGTTAGCATCCTGTTTAACCTTTCAGACAAATTACATTGAGTGAACTATCAGAATTTAGAATAGCTTAATTTTGTTCAGTTGCTTACCCCACTGAAGCTCACAGAATCATTACCTTATCATGAAATGACTTCTGCTGCTTATGACCTTGTATTGGGTTTGTATGGCCAGGTTTTCATAGTGGTGGGGCTGATTACTGGGATGGCTTCTGTGGGAAACCAGTAGCAGCTTCCCTGTGCCTGACAGAGCCAATGCCAGACAGCTCCAGTGCCAATCTGCCACTGGCCAAGGCTGAGCCTACCAGAGTTGCTGGTAACTACTCCGTGGTAACATTTAAGAATGAAAAAAAATGTTACTGTGCAGAAGTAATTATTGCAGAGAAGAGAGGAGTTGAGGATATGTGAGAGAAACAGCCCTGTCCACACCCAGGTCAGTGCAGAAGGCGCGGGGATGAGATCCAGGCACTGGAGCTGAGATTCCCCTGCAGCCTGTGACAGTAATGGGTGAGTGATCTCTCCCTGTCCTCATCTCAACCCAGGAGCCTTTCCTTGTATTTCCTCTTGCCTGTCCAGCTGAGCAAGGAGAGTTATAGAGCAGCGTTGGTGGGCACCTGGCATCCAGCCGGGGTCAGCCCACAGTCCTGCACTCATGCTGCATGATACATTTGTGGGTTTTGCTGGAAAAAAAAAAGAGGAGGAACCTACAACACTGGTATTATTTTAACTGAAAATATTTTAAATTTTCTTCTGAAGAACTTTTTAAGTTATCAAAACTATCGCTGATAAGATGCTGAGGCTTTTAGATGAGGTGCAAGCCCTAGATTTCCTGCATCCCTCCTTGCTAATTTCCATTGAACTGGGATGCTAATGAAGTACAAAACCTCTCTTAATTTATTTGACTTAGCATGGGTTATAGATTTGCATAAGTGTTCCCTTTTTTCTCCCCCCTCATATCTGGAACTTGAATTATTGCAGAAATTACAATGGAGAGGTCTCCTCAAGTATTTATTGAAATGTTGATAATAATTTCTTTTTTTAATGAATTTCCACGTGAACACTATACCACTGTGATGTACTGTGTATTTATATGCAAGTTGGCAGTTGTCTTCTTGAAGTATCTGCCCAAAAAACAAAAGCTCACTTTTGTCTCTTTTTTTTTTCTTCCTTCTCTTGGAACAGGCTGCAGGATGAGGCATTCACCTGCTGCTGTTTCAGCTCAGCTGTTCCATCAAGTTTCAATCTGCTCCTTCATTTTTTGTCTTGCTGCCTAAACTAATTTCCTGCCCTATTTGGATGCATTTTCCTTACCAAAGGTTTCTTTTCTGTCTTTTTGCCACTTGCAAGGATGGAATAATTTTTATCTCAGTTCCAGGTGTTTGAATAATTTCAGAAGGGTCCTTTGCTACCTCTCCTGCAAGTTTTGTACAGGGCCTGGCATAGCTTCCAATTTTCACCCTCGGAGAAGTGATGCAAAGCTTTCTTTGGCCTCTGTTCTTTGAAGGACTTTTGTGTAGTTTCAGTCCCAAGAAGGTTGGCTTAGGATGTCACTGGCAAGGTGTTTGCTATTGTCATCATCTGCCGTTTTTCTGGCTGCAGAAGCAGAACTGAGACTGCTTCAGGCCCACTTGGTTGCCCTTGAACCTCGTCCATCTGTGAGGCTGGCTCTGCAGCGCTGGAAGAATCCATCCTAGCACCATTCCCCATGGCCAGACTTACCCTGGAGCACTGTAGTATTGTGCTTTTTGCTCTCTTAGAGCACTAATTCAGCGTGCTGGTGACTACCTTTGCCTTGGCACAATCTTGATGTGTGTCTGCCATCACTTGGGCACCACGCCATACCCTGATTTTGTATTGGCAGGCTAGTCCAGGCATTCACCTGCTCTTATATCTTCATTCCTCTTGCCAGTGGGAATGCTGCCTGGCATCAGCTGGTTTTGCACAGAGGTGTGCCCACTGCTGTATACGTGGGTGTGGATCTCGTGTGCCCTCTCACACCCTCTTGCTGCTCGACTTTTCTGGTAAATTCCAGGAGAAAGTAATCTTCCTGGTTTTTTAGTGTTTCTGTGGTGTCTAAGGGGTCTGGACTGAAAGAGCTGTGTTGGGTGGCCCCTCAGGATCAAATTCATCCATTTCTCTTGGTGATGAGGCTGAGACCTGGCCAAGCATGTGACATACCCTTCCATGTGGAACAGTTCTGTCCACAAAGTTCAGACCCCAGCATCTCCGTTTTACCATTCGTAGTGCCATGGGTGGAAGTGTGTATTTGCAAAGTACATCAGAGTGTTGGTGTACAAGCTTGGCATCCTCATTCTTCTTGCTGTGGTTACTGCAGAGAGGTCAAGAGGTGTAGAAGAGATCAGGAAACAAGCTCATGTGAGGGGAAAGAGCTTATCTGAATCCAGGGCAGCTGACTCTTGGTGGTCGTGCTTGAGCAGAAGTGTTGGATCAAATGACTTCCAGAGGTCCCCTCTGACCTCAGACATCCTGTGAAGTTGCAACCTGTGCTATGGAAGCTGCTCTGCTACAAGTTTAGTTCACACTTTTGTTGGGAAGACTCTTATTTCTGTACCCCTCAAGTGGAGAACAGTCTTGTTCCATGTCACACCGGTATTGCCACCAGAGTGTGGGGTGTCCCTGAGCCCCAGCCACTGCCAAACAGCGAACCACTGCCATCCCTTTCTCCACACTAAAGGACAAAATGTGCACATTAGAGTCACAAGTGTCAGCTTTAACCTTGCCTTTCTGGTCTTGGCTCTAAGGAGTCCCTCTAGGGCAGACACATACCTGGGTTTTATGAGAAGCCCACTGCTCAGTTTGAGCAAATTAGCTAACGCTTTTCTGCACATACACCCCCAAGCATTTTACTGTATTTGGATAGTGGCTTTTTATTTTCACCTGCAAGTCTTAACAGCAGTCTTTATTCTGTGCATGGGCTTTAAACCAGTTGAAAATTTGGCATGTTGCGCAGTCCAAGCTATCAAGTTTCTGCTTTTCCCACATAACTCTACATGTGGAGTAGCAGTCCTCAGCTGTCACTTGATGTGGGGAATTGCATCAGGTATGCTCTCAGCAAGCATTTTAGTTCCTGGTTATTTTCCCTACTGTCAGCAGCTTCTTGTGACATTTGGAACTGCAGACCAGAGATTGTGAGCCATTTGTGTAAACCCAAGTTAAAGGGAATTCAAATAGATGCAAGATCTTTATATAAATAACAAGAAACTCACATTCACATTAACTGCTGAGGCCTCTTGGTCCTTCACAAGATATATTTCATATTTGAGGTAGCTTAGGAAAATACCCGGAGAGCAAGTGTCAGTGCCACAACCAGGTGTGGCTTTGACAGCTCCAGGTTTTGCACAGATGAACACATTTGTCAGAGACCACTATTAGTGAAATTAAATTAGGCTAATGTGCTCTGTTGAGTATAATTGAAATGATACTAATGTTTTTATTGATTTGCCACTGGAGTAGGTGAATGCTGTGATGTCCTTGCTGCTGTGAGTACAATTTGCAGTTGTTCCACGTTACTGTATTGTAACTCTCCAATATTATGGCACAGATAGGCCTGTTTTTAACTGTGTTAATTTGAACTAATTGCTGGGTTTTTTTATAATTTAGAACAAGATCAAGAAATGTGGTTTTGGACACCTCTTCCCCATAACTTTACCTGCAAATTGAAGATCATCTAATGCAGAGGAGTTCTAAAGAACATTGAACATTTTCATCGGACACCCCAGTTTTAGGGGCATGTTGTTTCATTGATCTTAAAGATCTTTCTTCAGTGTAAATGGTAAATAGTTTGTTATCAATTATCTTTTCTTTTGTATCAATAAATGTTAAGTAATGCAAACCAGTTTTGATTTCTTTGATTTTAAATAATTTTAGAATCAGTTTTCTAGCATTCCATGTGGTTTTGAAAATGCAGGTAATTGCATGAATTTGACTTGTAAATATATAAGAATAACCATGTGAGTTATCTTGAGTGGCTTCAAAGATGTCATGAACTGAAATGTTTCACTGTTTCTATGGAATTGTTGAAACATTCAAAGGGAGTTTGAAAGTAAAATAGTTTTCAAGGGATCAAGTTATGGAATCATTAAGGTTGGAAAAGACCTTTAGGACCGTCCAGTTCAACCACTAACCCAGCTCTGCCAAGCCCATCCTCATGTCCCTGAGTGCCATGTCTTTTAAATACTTCCAGGGACAGTGATACCACATCCCTGGCCAGCCTGTTTCAGAGCCTGACCACCCTTTCAGTGAAGAAACTTTTCCTAATATCCAGTGTAAACTTCCACTGGTGTAACTTGAGGTCATTTGCTCTCATCCTATTATTTGGGCAAAGAGAACCACCCTCACCTGGCTACAGGCTCCTTCCAGGTGGTTGTAGAGAGAAGGGTACCTCTGAGCACTTGGCCTTGTTGAACCTCAGATGGCAGTGGAGGTGAGATTTGGAAGACAGTTGACAGTGGCTTTGGTTGCAGTTTGAATCCCTGATGTTCCTGCCAAACTTACACAGAAACATCTGGTTGGAATGGTGTATGATTATTTTGGTTTTCAAGTAAATCATAGTCAGAGCCACATTCTGCTGCAGCATGTTATCATTCAGGGCTCTTCATATTTGGTATGTGATGACTTATGCTCTCCTCCACATTTTGTACAAAATTTTCAAGGTGTTTCCATTTAGCTGGAGATGGTGCTCCCTGAGAACAAATCTTGCCTAGTCATCAGAGTGAAATAAAATAAAAACACCTCCCATCCCTTCAAGGAAAACATGGTTCATTAGTTTTTCATTTGCCAGGAGCATCAGTTTTTAATGTTTTTCCCTTTCCCTTTATCTCCTGGGAATATCAATCTGCATAGATCTATTATTAATTCCACAGCAACGAGCTCATTTTCTCAAAAATCTTTACAGTGCGTAGTAAAAGTAGGTCTCCACGGGAATTATTTAATATCCAAATTGAACTCAAGTGTCCTATGGATATTGTTGGGTGGCTGTTGTGGTTGGTTTTTTTTTCCTAAAGCATCTTTGCCTCATCCAAAGTCACTGTTTTCTATGATCAGGTGAGTGTTGTAGGGTTGTCCAGCATTTGAAACTCGGGAGTCTGGATGAGTATTAAAATAATTCTGGAACCAAAACGATTTTTAGAGGTGGAAGGGTGAGGGAAAATCCTCTTGAATAGCAGCATATGCTATGAATGATACTGTATTGTTGTATAAGCATTGCAAAGAAGGGAAGGTTCTCTTGGAAGGTTCTGGAAGCTCTCTTTATAGCGTTCATTCCTGTCAGCCATGCCCCAGGAGCAATGGTGAGCATTTTACTGGCAAGAGCCTTGCTGGAGGGCAGGATTTCCACCTGCAGTTCTCGTGGTTCTTGAAGGCCTGTCTCATTTCCAGTAAGTGTTTGCCATTCACTGAAGCAGCAGAGAACCTGGCTCTACAGCTCAGCCTCCCGTGGCCCCTTCTGTGCACCTGGGTAAGCCCCCACCCATCCCAGTGCCTGGTGTCCCTGGGTGTGCAGCTCGGGAAGGGGAGGGTGGGGCTGGTGTTTTCCAGAGAGCCCAGACCTGGTGTGGCCTGAGGGCAGTGTAGGTCACTGTGGGATCCCTCCAGGGCAGGACCTGGCTCTGGAGTCTCTTTCCTCACCCTGAGTCGCTCAGAGCTCTTTTGCTTGTGGTCTGACCTGAGGAATGGTTGCTGCTTATGTTCTTTGCAGTGTTTAGGAGATGCTTTCACTCAGAACAGTCTCACAGTTTCTTGTTAATTGGCTCAAACCAATGCATCAAACAGAAACTGCAATAACCACATAGATCATGTGCTGTATTTTGATAGTCAAGAAGATTGTCTTTTTCTTTTACCTGCCCTAACCTGGAAGAATCAGAACATTTTCTCTTCCTATGCCAGTTAGACTCAGTCATAACTTAATAGAAGGAGGGCAGTTCCAGTAAAACCTGCACGGTGACACAACAGAAATGCTTTGTAAGCAAGGAGCTTTTTCTGTAACATGGATGTATCATTTGGAGTTTGTCATGTCCCTGGAAAGTCACAGTTTGAGGAGCTATAAGAAGTGATAAACAGGTGAGGTGCACAGTTCATGAGGGCACATTAGAAGATGAGGCTGAATTTTTTTTGCATGTGAAAGAATTAAATCTTTTTATCTTAGGGGATAGAAAGCAAAGTGTGGGTCTTAAAAATTACCTTTCCCCACTGCACAGCAGGAGGAGGTGGGGTATCCTGTGGCTCATACCAAGCAAAGGTGCTGGTGTTTATACAGTAGCCCAGTTTTGGGCATGGCATGTGCCACAAGCCAGAGTCGCTGCTTGGGGATTGCCAAGCCAGTTCTGAGCTCGTGTGTTTACTTGTGCTGTGACACGTGGTGGGCATAAAGGCACTTGCTTGTACTCGGGGCTTGGGAGCAGCCATGGAAGCTTCACGTTGTTGAGGGTGGTGGAAGAGATTATTAAAAGTCAAATTTATTACGGTTTTGGTGGCTCAGTGTTGGTTTTACCATTTGAGTCTCTTCTGTATTTTCAGTATCTTGAGTTAAACAGTTTCTCTCCTGTAGGAAGCCACTTGGTCACGCTGGTATGTGGTCTGCTGGTGCACATCTGTGACTGTTTTCTCATGGGATTCAGCTGTTACTAAAAAAAGATTTTCGTTCCTCTGCAGATAAGCAGGTTTTACTTGTCTGTTAAGGATAGTGTGATTTTTATTTTTATTTTTTCTTCTTTTCTGTTTTCCGATGAGTCTTATCCATATGCATGCTTAACTGAAAGGCTATATATCAAACCAGTGCCAAACGTTTTGTGGCCTAAGGAATTAAGATGAAAGTGAGTGTGGTGCAGACAGCTCTCCTGGCTGCCTCTCTTCACACTGAGGAGAGCTTTCCTGTGCTATAATAGCCTTGCTTTGCTTCAGGTGCTGCCCCAGCCTGGTGAAGTTCTGCCACACACCAGTCCTGCTGCCATTGCATCTGCTTTCTACTGCTCTGAGATCCCAGTCTGTGCAAGAGACACAGAGAAGCCCATTTCCAGCTCAGGCTGATTGTATTTAATCTTTTTTCTTTTTTTTTTTTTCTTTCCTCATGAAGGAAGTAAATAGAACTAATCTGTGGGATTTACAAATGGGTGTTCAGCCAGCCCTGATAAGGATCCATGGTCCTGAAGTCCTATGCTTGATTATTTTACATTTATGTCATTAAAATCAGGCTGCTTTAGGTTACTCTGCTAAATGTTGCAGAAAAAAAAGGCACTTGAAACCAGCACTGAGCCAAGGATACTTAAGCAGAAGGTAGCCTGGTAGCTTTCCTGCTGCTGGTTGCATTTCTGCCACACAGGCATATAAGGTAGGGGTGAGAACGCTTCTGAACTCACAAAAAGTATTGAAGTGGTGGCTTTTGGATGTTGGTCTTTTCCATTCTCTCCCTGAAAGGAATGCAGCCAATTTGACCAAAACAAATGAGTCAGAAGATTGCATTTTTATTTTTTCAGTTTTTTTATGTAGCTCACATCACCTTGCTCTGAATGAATGAATTGTGTTGTTGTGTTGCTGTGTTGTTTTGGCATGGGGGTTGTTTGCACTTTTTTTGGCAGTTCAGCCTCCAAAGAAACTTCTCATAGCAACTCCCTGTAACCTTGGCAAGCACAGAAACTGCTTATATGAGTGCAGGAGCAAGTGGACACAAAACCAAGTCAAAATACACTCAAAGTAAGTTTTGAAGACTTTTTTTCTCATGTTTGAGAATGCCTGTTGCTCTTTTCCTTTTTCCTGTGTGCCACAGTTCCCAAGGGCCAAGCGTCTGCAGAGGATAACAGACACATTCTGAGAGCTGGGAGCAGGACCGTGCCTCTGCTGAAGGCCAGCCAGGCAGCCCGTTCCACGTGGAGGGTGGAGGTTCCATCTGCCTTCCACCATCTCCAGACTGCTGTGACAGATGCTGTTTCCCAGGGAGCAAATCTTGCTGCGTTGCCCTGGGCTCCTGAAGGCAGGCGTTGGAGGAGGGAGGAAGCCAAGCCAAGCTTACGGAGTTATTGGAGGGATGCAGAGAGATTGTACCCAGCCAGAGGAGGACAGCACTAGCACCCGTACCCTGCTCAGAAGGATCTGCTCATTGCTGGTGTGCACAGTTCTGCTGGGGGCACTGTTTGCTTTTCCAGCTGGCCCTGATTTTGAGGGTTCTGCTCTGCCCAATAAGATGTCTTGCTGCTGTCTGTTATCCTGTAGCTCTGCGCTGAGCCTTCTGCCCTCCATTCACTCACCTTCCTGTGATCCTGCATAGTGCTTTTTTAATTCTTGTTTGTATTTTTAATGAGTTGAGGAGAGGTGTCATCTTGTTTATATCCATGGAAACTGGAGCCATGGGTTTTGAGTCATTAAATTTATACCTAGGCAGGACTGCTGTTGCACTCACTGCCTGCTGCATACAGACATATATTTTCATTTTGAGAGCTTGTGTTTAAAGAAGACAGCAACTGAAATCCTGGTTTAGATTGTTCTTTACAGCCAAACTGCTGTTTGCTGAATGCTGCAAGAGTTAACTTTCAGTGGAGCACATACAATGGTATCAAGTTTCTAGCCCAAATGTAAAAATGTAGTGCCTCTGCAGGTGAAATTTTATTTCTTTTGTGGGAGACAAGATAGGAGCTCACTAGAATGGGAACATGTGTAGGAAAAAAACAATATCTAACTCAGTCTCTTCCCTGAATGATAGCAACACCGAGACTCTGTACATATGTGACACAGAATAGTCATCCTTTTTCATCACATGCCTTGCATTTCTTCACCAGGTATGTATTCAAGCCCCGTGTGGGCAGGGGTGTGTTTGGCTGTGTTCTGTAAATGAAGTTTAGTGATCACAAGACATAGCTTCTGTTTTCCACTAGAGGCCAATGAAGCACAGGACAAGGCTCCTGCAAGGCTTTCAGGGAAAACCCCATCTTTTCTCCCTTCCGGACCTGTTGCTGAACAGTGGTATCTCCATCTTGATGACTATGTATTCTTTTAGAAGTGGTTCTCCCTCTAATGAAGTGGAATTAAATTGCTGTCTTCCTCTCAGAATTTTGTTCCCAAAACCAAACTCAGAAAGTTCAAGAATTGGCATCTTGATTTGCTGATATGTGTTCCTTACACGTTTTCAATTCCTAGCTGTTAACTATGCAGCAGGCTCCATGGAATAAAGGGCACATGGAAAAGGCAGTGGAAACAGTGAGTAATGCCAGTGTCTGGGACTTTAAAGAGTTTTTGAAAATGGTACATCTTGAGAGACTACATTTTACTGGGGAGCTTCCTAAATTTTTTGCTTACAAGTGACCAAGGCAATGAGATCCCACTCCGGCTGAGGAAAGGGTCTTGTCCCTCCCCTGACATCATTCTGCCTGAGTGCCTTGGTCTCCTGACTCCTCAGCTCATATCTGAGTCCTAAGTAATAACACTGGTCTTTTACAAAGTTTTTAAGAGGCCCAGAACATCAGAAGTCCTTAAATATGATGCTGGTGGTGTCAGCTCTGTGTCAGAGACAGAAGAAGCCATCTAGGATAATGTTTCTTTGCCTAGGAACTACCCCCTAGGAACTACTTTTTCTGTCCCAAGTAAGTGAAGAATAATGCTGCCTAATGTGTTGGTTAAAGCCAAAAATATTTACAGTAAGACAAAGGCACTGCTTGGGGCATTAGCTTGGAAGATGGTTTAGGATTTTGTTGCTGCCTGGCAGAGGTGCCTTTTGGGTGGCACATATGTGTGAGCCCCTCTGGATGCCACACTGCTGGGCTTCGTTAGAGCACTGTGCTTTGGCTGCTGATCCTAAACCTGGATTTCTCTGGGGGTTGTAGGAAACCTGACTTTAGAGGGAATTGTGCTTCTCCTTTGGAAGGATAGATACTGCTATGAATAGGCTGCTATGGTAGGAAGCAAACCTAAAGTAGGATTGCAGCTCAGAGGGTTGCCTGAGCTAGCTCTAATCACGTGGTGGCATGGCTTAATGTAGCCCTTTGAGCTAGGGCACACCCATGGGCCCTCCAAGATTTATCAGCATCTGCAAGCCCCTGACCCAGCCTATGAGCCAAAAGGGCTCTTTCTGTGGTTAGAGAGGGGAGGTCAAGCCCAGGCAACTGCTGCATAGACAGGCTGTAACCCATGAGGTGTCTCCTCCAACTTCATTCATCTTCTGTCTGCAAAGGATTTCCTAATGTGGCAAGATGGGCTGCATTGAAGTTTATACCACAGAACACGGTAGCTGGCTCTCCCAGAATAAATGGTGTTTGCAGTATTGCACTGTTTGCTAGGCAGGGGCCTCTGGAAACTGCCTCTGAGTTGCCAGTGGCTTCAGTGAATATTGAACACCTTACTGTCAAGTGCAGAAAGCTGATTTATTACTATTATTTACTCCTCATTAGCACTGATGTAACACAGCAGGGAATCGAGAGCAGCAGCAGCTTCCTGGCCGTTATCTGATGCTGCTGATGGCCATGTGTGTGCTGTGCTATGGTGTTATGTTTGTGCAGGACCTGAGATCGGGGGGGTAGCAGCTGGCAAAAATGAGGGAAAAATGGAAGAAAAGGGAATCTAGCTTAGCTTTATTTATCCCCTGGTGCAAGTAGTATCAGAAACACTCATACAGTGTATCACATAAATTGAAAAATAAGTAGGAAGTGAGACTGACACATCAGCTTTCAGTCTAAAAGAGTCTACAGCTATTTTTGAAAAATGAGCAGTTTTGTGTATTACTGGTCACACATGCTGTTTAATTTTCCTTGTTTTCCTGTTTTGCATCTTCTCTTTCTCTCATAGGTGGATGTCAAAGTGTCACTGGGAATTAATGCTAAATGCTCAGTACCTGTTTTAGAATAGAATGATAGAATCATTAAGTTTGAAAAAGACCTCCAAGACCATTGATGATCATTGACCTAGCAAACAGTGCTGCCCCATCCATGAAAGTGCTGTGGGAAGCACTGTCCAAGGTTTTACTTGAAGTTCAGGTAGACAACATCCACAGCTTTTCCTTCATCCACCAGTCAGGTCATCTGGTCACAAAAGGAGATCATGTTGGTCAAGCAGGACCTGCCTCTTGTAGCCCTGTGCTGGCTGGGCCAGCTCCTCTGGTTGTCCTGTCTGTGCTGTGTGATGGTGCTCAAGACGATGTCTGTAAACTTCCCCAGCACTGAGGTCAGGCTGTGACACCTGTGGGTGTCTTATTCGTTCACCTCCTATCAGCTGGGGCCTCCCTGATTAACCAGGACAGCAGGTAAATGATGGGAAGTGGCTTGGTGAGCCACTTTGTGTTCAGATGTACCTGAAAGATTAGGACCTTATGATACAAGGTGCTGTGCAAACAAAAACTCCAGAATCTCTATTCTACAATGTTTATATTGTAACTGACAAGGGGAAAATAATTGTGTCATTTTCCTGGTGTTTGTACACTCATTGAAACAGTGGGGCCACCCTTATAAACCGGTTAATATTAATAATTCTTCATTTTCTGAAGAATGGCGTTACAGGGTGACTGCCTTGCTGTAACTGAAACATTGTAAAACAGGTGTGTAGAAAAAAACACCCAGCTTCTTGGTGGAGTTTCAAGACAAGCACATCTCTCTGCTGAGGTTTGCCACATCAGAAATGTTCAAATGAGAAAAGGGGCTTGGGGTATTTTCCTATCTTTAACTGCAAGATGCTATTTCCCTTGGCCGGTGACAGCACCTTCCTGCCCAGCTGTTTCACCCTCATGTAAAATGGGTGATTTGGAAACTTGCGCTTCAGCAGCAGTGGAGGAAGAGCCTAGGTTTGACAGCTGCTGAGCAGAGGCAGTGACTCTTGCATCATGTGTGATGCACAAATGGGGGATACTTTTAATGCTTCTTAATATGTTAAATTAGAGGAATGTTCAGCCCTGTTTTCTTGGTGCAGGTCTTAATTCTAGAGGTTGATTTTTTCCAGGGAGTAAGTTCCTGCTCCTTACAGCAGAGACTGACTTGGGGTGGAGCTGGCAGCCCTCTAGCCGTGCTCAGGCTGTGGCACATGGAGGTGGCAGTTCTGTGTTTGGCCAAGGCAGAGATGCTGGCATCAATCCTCAGCTGCCGTTCAACTCAAGCCAACAACTGCATCAGGGTGCACTTCAAGCTGCGCTGACTGGGAAAAGTACTATTAGATCAGTGCATGTTGTATTTTATCCTAAGCCTTTTATGCCATCCCCAATATCACAAGTCAGCGGGATGCTTACGAATGAGCAGGAATGTTTGATCTGGGCCTGTAATTTTGTTAACCGTTTCCCCTTGTTTTAATTTACATTTGGGTGATTCTGTGAGAAGCTATAGTGGAATTTAATAACACTAATATTAAAAAACCAATATCAGGTCTGCATATTTCAATCTGATTAGTAGTTTTTCTCTTGATTAAATTATGCATTTTTAATGCAAGCCCTTCATTTGTCTGCAATAACATGGCACTATAACCCTCTGTGTAAAGTGAGCACAATTCAGTGCCCTTTTTGCTCCTGCTGGTCCTGGATGCAAATTTCCTTGTTTCTCAGTAATCTTTTCTCTGTATCCATCATAGCGCTTGCCATTGCTTGCCTAGAATAAAAGGTCATTGTAAATCCTGATTACTCTGGAAAGTTGCTCACACATCTATTTCCTAGGCTTGATACATTTCATCCTCCTGCACGTCGGAAATAGATTTAATCAAACATGAGAATTTGTCTGGGAGAAACCGTTCATGATTCTTTTTCTTTGTGTGTGGTTTTTTTTTCTTCCCATATAAAATGGTTTTGATAAATACACCCCCTCCAAACCCCCCGAATTTAAACTGTTTTTCATTTTAGTTTGGAGAGCTGACATAGAATAATTATTCTTTGTCAAAATATTTTCTTTTTATTTTTTGCAAGAGATGCAGACAAGAATTTGC